CTAACACATTATAATGCAGCTATGCTCCAGTAAAAGCTTTTTTTAAAAAAATAAAGAGTTTTAGGAGGAATTTCCTGGCAGTCCAGTGGTCAGGACTTGGCAGTTTCCCTGCTAAGGGCCTGGGTTCAATCTCTGGTCAGGGAACTAAGATCCTACAAGCCGCACAGTGTGGCCAAAGTTGGGGGCGGGGAGCTTAGTAGAAGAGTTTTCTTGTTGCTGTTCAGTTGCTCAGCTGTGTCTGACTCTTTGTGAGCCCATGGACTGCAGCACGCCAGGCTTCCCTGTCCTTCACCATCTCCTGGAGATTGCTCAAACTAATGTCCACTGAGTTGGTGATGCCGTCCCACCATCTTGTTCTCTGTCGTCCCCTTCTCCTTCTGCCTTCAATCTTACCCAGCATCAGGGTCTTTTTCAATGAGTCAGTTCTTCGCATCAGGTGGCCAAAGTATTGGAGCTTCAGCTTCAGCATCAGTCCTTCCAATCTAGCAAATCTAGTGGTGATTTTGCTGAGTTAGGACTCTAGTAGCTCCAAGCATTTTCTTCTCATTTAGGGAGGGATCAGAGTGGAGGAGGAGCGTAGGATAGAGGGTAAGAATGGTTTTGGGGCTTGTCTTGAGCGTGAGCGTTGTGGGAAGGTCTGGTGTAGTGTGGATGAGTGAGGGTGGGATCTGGGGACTGGCCTCGATGGCTGAGCCAGAGCATGCGCGGAGAAGAACGGCCAACCAGGGGCTCTTAAGGGTAGCTTGGAGGTGATAGTTGGAGAATTTCTGACCATAGTTTGAAGTTCACATTATTCCAAGAAGGGTAGAAAACCAGAGAGGGCTTTAACCAGAGAGGGGAGGGTGGCTAAAAATGACAGCTTTACTTTTTGTAAAAAGTTCATTTTGACAACAACATAGAGAATGGATGGAAGCCTGGAGGCAGAAAGTTGATTCTTCTTTCTTTCCATTCACCCAGCTCACCATCAGTCCTTGTGAGCTATCCTTCTATCGCTTTACTCGGCAAACAAGCATTATTGAATGCTTGGTTCTGAGAACAAGCTCTCTAATCAGTAGGCCCACATTGGATTAGGCCTCTCCTGCCCCTTACCCATCTGTGTGACGCTGGGCAAACTACTTACTCTGTCAGTTGTTTGATTTAGCACCCGAGAAGTAGGACTAGTAATATCCCTGAATACTTGGCAGGGTGGTTGGGAAGATTAAATTAGATAATGCTTAATAAGTGCTTACCGTTATGCCAGGAGCTCATAAACTTTCATAAACCTAGCTATTTGTGTTCATAGTAGCAGGTTGGCGGTGCAAATGTGGGAGCTGTCGTGATCCTGGGGGTTGTTAAAGCCGTGGGTGGTGTGGAGACCGGCCCCGGAAGGAGACTCGGTGCAGATGTTAGCTGAGCTCATGCTGTTAATGCTTGCAGAGCGTCCTGGTGAGCGGTGAGGGAGGTGCAGAGGCGCGTGCCCCCAGGAGTGGGCAGGTCTTCACTTTAACACCAGGCAGAGTGTGACCAGTGCTTTGGTCAGTTCAATGGGGGAGATTTAGAAAAGCCTTTTGGAGAAGGTGGAGTTGAATTGGGTCCGAAAGGATGAATGGGACTCAGTTGGGTAGATGTGAAGGGAGAGTGTGCTTCCCGCACAAGTGGTGAACACTTAGGGAGTCAGAAAGAGGATGCATGCTTTGGGTGGATAAGCAGGCCTGGAAGGTAGGAACTCTTTTGTTTTTTTCAGGCTGCACTGGGTCTTTGTTGCTGCACTCAGGCTTTCTCTGGTTGCCCTGAGCAGGGGCTCCTCTCTATTGTGATGTGCAGGCTTCTCATTGCTCTGGCTTCTCTTGGTGCAGAGCACGGCTCTAGGTGCTCAGGTTTCGATAGTTGCTGCTCTCAGGCTTAGTGGCCTCGAGGCACGTGGAATCTTCCTAGCCCAGGGATCAAATCCATGTCCCCTGCATTGGCTGGTGGATTCTTAACCACTGGACCACCAGGGAAGTCCAATGGGGACTCGTTAAGTGAGTACAGAGAGAAAGTATTGAGGCCTAGGTAACTGTCAAAGGATTTTTGGTAGAGAACTTTGAATGCCATTCTGAGGATTTACGACTTTAAAATGAATGTCAGTAAGAGGGCAGATAGTATCAAGCTTTTATTTAGAAAGACTTTTAAGGACAAAGGTATGAATGGTCACAAAAGAGGGAAGGCGAGGAGAAAACCACTTAGAAGGTTATTACAAAACTCTAGGGCAAAAGCATTGAGAACTTGAACTAGGACCGTGGGAATAGAAGGAAAGGATGCATTACAGAACTTTAAGGAAATGGAATTGATGGGATTCAGTGACTCACTTTTTGTGGGGGGGACATGGAAGGGGTGAATTTGCAGCCTGAGAGACTGGGAAATAGTGATGACATTGAGCACAGGCAGTGGGAGGAGAGATGACCTGCCCGGTTCTGAATCTGAGGTGCTCGTGAGATACCTGTTTAGAGGAGCTGTCATGCTGGCAGAAGGTTGTTGGGCTGAAGCTCACAGGTATGATTTGGGTCAGAAGCAGGTAGAAGAGTCCTTTGATTCCAGGCATAGTTGAAGCCACAGAAAACAGGAAATGGCTTGGGCAGTGAAGAGCCCACCTTTGGGGAGGGACTCAATTATCGGCAAAAAGGCAAGAGTGGAACTCATTGCTGACACAGGAAGAGGAATAGAAGAGACAGATGTGTGTCATCAGGAAGAAGGGGAGAGATTTTCAAGAGCAGCACAAATGATCAACAGCCTTATAAGCGCAGAGACGGAAGTGGCACATGAGCATGTAAATTGTCTGTTGATTGACGTGTTGAAAGTGACATCTTTGGGTGGCATATGGAGGGTCAGCTGACATGGGATCACTAAGGGTGGAGGACATCTCATGGACATGTCCATCCTGGGTGTCTGAGCGTCATGAGGTTTTGGATAGTTGGGGTACATTTCCTCCAGGTTGGGATTTTTTGCCCACCCATTGTTTGAATCTTTCCTCAACAGCCACTTATCAGCAGGGATGCAGAGTTTGAGGAAGGATCAAGGGACCTCCTTTCTACTCCCAAGGCTGGAATGGCTGTGTGTGAGGATGTCCCTTATCTCAGGAAAGGACAGGTGCCCACCTGTGGGTTCACATGTCTGAGATGGGCATGCACAAGGTGTCATCCACTCTCTAGTTAGGTCCTTTTCTGAGCACACTGGTTGAGGTTAGGGGCAGAGGTCCTGGCTGTTCTTCCAGCAGAGCAGTCCTGGGAGATGGTGTCAGTCCTGGAGTACTTGGCCATGGGTTGAAATTGGCTTGAGAGAAAGGGGGCTGCCCCAGGGAGATGAGCGCCTGAGTCCGCTCTTTGGATGGGTCCAGGAATCCACTTGCCACCATTTTAATGTTCGGCTTTTCCAGCTGAGGGAAAGGAATATAATTTCCTTTCTCCAGGTTTTGGCATAGTGGATGAGTTTAGAAGTAGAGGATAAGGATGTTGGGAATGTGGTGAGACCTGGAAGAGCCGCTTGTTGTAAATCTTGTTATTGTTGGTACTGTAACGAGTTTCAAATTCTGTTTGGGGATAAAGCACAACATTGGGCCACGTGTGTGTCCACACATCCTCTCGTGGTTTGTTTTTCCTTTGGTTTCTTCTCTGCACCAGCTTCCTTCCAGGAGTCAGAGGCTCGCTCTCGCCCCACTGCTGCCTTCCTCCCACACTTGCTGGTTTGGGCTTTGGGGCTTACTTCCTGTCCTCTCTGCCTAGGATCCCCAGGTGGAAGGTTCTGCCCAAGGGGGATGGTTTTCATTGCAAATGGGTCCAGTGGGCCATCTGAGGTTGCAGCTGGATCTTGATGCAAATGGCAGAGTTTCCCAGCCTGCTTAGGGAGTGGTGGCCGGGGGCGGGGCGGCATAGCTTCCCAGAGTGTTTCCTGGGACCCTGATGGCCCTGGATCTGGCTGTGCCCAAAGCCCAACGCTGCCCTGACTGCCCACTTCTTCTCAGCCCCTCCCCTTGTGCTTCTTTGGCCTTCCTGTCTCTTTTGTGTTTTCCTTCTCTTCCCTACATAACCTTTCCTTTCCCCATCTCTTTCCTTTCTCCATTTTCTCAGAGCAAAGCAAACACCTGTTAGAACTTGGCTGCATCAAGTTTTCCTCTCCTCTTCCTTCCTTCATCTCCTCTAGTCCTTTAAGAACACAAGATAAATATTTATAAAGTGCGCAAGCCTTGGAATGAGGGGATTTGGTGAATGTATAAGGTAGTTGTTGGAAATGAATTTGGGGGAGGGGACATGGCATGTGAGAACTTCTGCTGTGTTTACCTTTGCCCTGGGCAAGGGGAGCAGGAATAACATAGCTTGCAAGGAAATAGAAGTGTGGGCGAGTTACAAGTCAGAAGACCCAGATTTCGTTTCTAAGCCCTCTGTGATCAGAGGACACTTGGTCCTCCTTGCCATGCACTGATCTTTATTTTAAAAATAGGAATTGTGGCACTTGTCATTACTACCTTGGTGAAATGATTCCTTAACTGCTTTGGAAAGTGGGATTATTTTTGTTATTTTTATGGGCAGATATCTCTGAGGCAAAATGTAGAACCTGAATTGTGCAGCATGTGTAAAATGAGCTGATAGTACTGATATGATCTCTAATGAGTCTCTCAGCTCTTATATTCCGTTTTCCCTAGACAATTCTTGGCATATAATGGGGGGAGAGGGTGGGTCCTAACAAAATTTGGTGGATGGACAGACAGATGGATGGCTGGATGAACGAATCTCTATAAATGTCTAATCGGCCTATTTACCCCCTTCCTACTGCTATTTCAATTTCACGTGGGCACCACCGCCCCCTCCTGGCCAGCAGCAGTATTACGGTGCAGTCCATAGGTGGGCCCTAGCTGGGCCCTTTCGCCCCTGTTTCTCCCCAGCCAAGAACCCTGGCTCCCAGAGCTGGCTCCTTGGGACCTGTCTTTGGCCCTCAATTACTGACGGCTTGTCTTTCCTGCCCCTCCCTCTCTCCGTCTGCCCCTGCAGCACTGCCAGTAACTCCAACCGCAGCACGCCAGCCTGCTCCCCCATCCTCCGGAAGCGGTCTCGCTCGCCAACCCCGCAGAACGTAGACGGAGACACCATGGTGGAGAAGGGCTCAGATCACTCCTCGGACAAGTCGCCGTCCACCCCGGAGCAGGGCGTGCAACGCAGCTGCTCCTCGCAGTCCGGCCGCAGTGGTGGCAAAAACTCCAAGGTGAGCCTGACCCCGCCGGCCACTCTGTCCTTGCTAATTAGCTGGCTGCAGGGAGGCTGGCGTTGGGGAACCGTGAGGTAGAGAACCCCTTCGTGGAGGGACCTGATGTGATTGACCAGCCCTAGTGTCCTAGAGAGAGCCTCTGTTCTGTGAGGTGAGAGTGGGAGGCAGGGGAGAACCCCTATTAAATCTTGGTCTTAGCTTAGCCCTCAGAGAGGCCCCAGGAGCTAGTAAAAGGATTTCACGATGACCACTGTGTCTCATTAGCGGTGAGGGAGGCTCACAAGCCTTGAGATTTGGAGGAGGGGAGCTCTGAGGATCAGGAGGGGTCGTCTCTTCGGCCCTGCTATGTTTTCCAAATTTGGCATAGAGGGGAACATTATTTGGGACAAATATAGTGCCGGGAAGGGAGTCCTCAGGGACCGTTGCAGAATGCTGTATTAACCTCAGCCCTGGCCATCACCCAGCCTTACCTTTGGTAATAACCCACCTGGTACCCACCTGGCCAAGAGAGCAACAGGGCTGTCCACCCCTCCCGAGTATGTCCTTGTTACACCTGAGCCCCCGTTTGCCTAAGGGGGCCTGGGCTATTTATGCTTCCACAAAGAGTCGTCGGCCCCGGCCTTTAGTCCTTTGGGAGGCAGACGATGTCTCTGCCTCTATACTCCTTAAAAGAGCTTAATCTTTCCCTCTTGACTCACAGGCCTTGGGGAGGGGAGGAGACCCCGGGAGGCTCGGGAGCTGGCGTCCCACCTGAATTTGTCTTTTGATTTCTTGTTCTTCCTCTTCTTCCCCACCATCCCCCAAATACCTTCTTTGCATGCATGGTCTTAGTCTCACAAGCGCCTCTCAAAAGTAAGCCATCTTTTGTCTCTGTCTTCGGTCTCCCCTCCGGTGTTGAACTGTCTGTAGTGCTCCGCACCCTGCCCCCCACCCCCTGCCCAGTTTGGCCCATGTGTCTTGCTTGGTCCCTTTCCCAGAAGGGCCGGCCCCACTGCCCCTGGCAGGCTGGCTGAGGTCACCAAGGGACCATTCCCACTGCACCCGGAGTCGGAGAACAGACCCACCCCCACCCTCCCCACCGCACCTCTGATCCGGTCTCTGCCTGCTCCCCAAACACTGCCTCGGCGGGGAGTCTGTCCCCTCATTACATGGTGCCGTTGAGAAGCAGAGTCCTGCCGGGGCTTTCGTTCCTTTGGGGAAGGGAGGCTCTGGATCTGGTGGAGCAGTGGGACCTGATCCCCGCTGCTCAGGTGAGTTGATTGAGGCTCACAGCTTCCCCTACATGAGTTCCCTGATGCAGTAGAGTGACCCTAGGAGCTCACCTTAGCCACACCTTCCTTCCGCTTGCTCAGCCTGAGTGCCCCTTACTGCTTCCACCCACAGTCCAGCCTGCGGCTCATTGTGTTCTTATGATCCTGACTCGTGATCAGAGGGGAATGTTTCTCCCAGAGGGCATGGTGCCAACACCGGAAGGTCGTGGACATAGACAGCCCCTGCCAGGTCCTGCATAGATAGGACCAGGTCAGGGAACCCGTGCCAAGAGTCTACCCAGGACCCCAGGATTTGAGAGGCCTGAGGAGAACTTAGAAGGAGTAGAGGGTGAATAGTAGGTGTTTCAGAACAACAGGACTCAGGAAATGATATCCACAGGGAAAGCGGGTGGCTACAGCCTGGAGAAAAGAGAGCTGAGAGGTGAACTTCATCATAGTCCCAAGCCTCTGTTTTGGGGAGCAGCAGGATGAACAGCTGTTCCTCTTCCTGAGGGGTGAACGAGAGGTTACAGGGCTAATCCTGCAGTCTGTGACCTTGAGGGTAAAAGCTCATCTTAGCTCTGAGGATTTTGAACGACGGCTGCTGGCTGTGGGCAGGAGGGGGAAACTGTGCCTGAATTGGGGAGGCCCCCAGGAGTCTGCTATGGGTTTGGGAGCTTAGTGGGTGCAGGGCTGTGTGGGGATGGATGGCATCTGGCGATGACCTCTGTCCACCCCTCTGGAATGCCTCACCCCGTTGGCTGGGGAGAGGGCAGGTGTTGCTGGACAAGGCGTCTGGTTATTGTTCCTCTGCCTCTGCCCACAGGGTGTGCACCTTTGCCATCCTAAGGTCAAGCTCCGAGCTTCCCCACCCTCTTACCCCTGTGCCAAGGCACCTAGCAAGCAGAACACTTACTTATGATCGATAGCACTCGCAGAGTGCCTCCTGGTCAGGTGATGGGGTTGAAAGGAGCATCCAATGATGAGGGTTTTTAAAACTTGTAAGTGGTAGATCTTCTTTCAAAAAGGAATATGAAGACCAGATTCCCACCCCCAGGCAGTGTCCAGTCTGAGAAGAGAGATAAGAAACACAGATTATCCACATTGTTTGTTCCCAGATTATCCACAAACCAAACCTGACCTTAAGGACCACAGGAGTAGTTGGGATGCTCTGTGAATTCGAAGGCAGGGGAGAGTTCACATCTGAGATGGGGAGCTGGTGCCCAGAGCTGGGCTGGAACTCCCAGTGGGATTGTGGAGGGGCACAGCGGGGCCTCGGAAGGGACCGGGATCTGAGCATGGACCCAGAGTGCATCCCGGCCCCTTTCCTGCTGGGGAGCTGAAGGCGGAAGGAGCGAGTTCCCCGCCTCCCCTTCCCATTCCATCACCGACACCCCAGCCGTTAACAAGAACTGACTTGTGGGGAGAGGGCTCCCTGCCACCCCAGGGGGACGTGGTTGCAGCCGTGGTCAGTCTGGGACAGACTTCGAAGATGACACCGGTATAGAAATTAGGTCCTGCACAGGACAGGGCCTGGAGCGGAGAGCGAGGGAAAGCTACAAGGGGCAGAGAAAGAGAGGAGGAGGGTCTTGTTGTGGTGGGAACACCCCCTCCCCCCGTGGAGCATTTTCTCAGGTTGACCACATGTGTCCACAGGGAGGGGTCTGGCGGTCAGAGCTGTGGTCACTGTTCTCACAGCCAGGCCACCTTGCTCCCTGTGTCCCCTGCACCTCTTAGGGGAGATGACCTCATACATTCTTCAGACAAGCTGGATACTCCACTTTTCGCTGGATCCAGACCTCACTCACAGTGTCTGTCTCCCCTTCTCCGCACCCCCATTTCCTTGTGTGTTAATACGTTGCAGTTGGACTAGGTAGCCGGGGAGGTCTCACTCCTGTGACTCTGTAGCTATCCTGCGTCTGACCCTGGCTGGGGCAGCCCTGCCCGGAGCCCAGGGCTGGACATCAAGGCCCAGGGTTCTGATCCAGGGTTCTGATCCAGGACCCCTTAGTTGGCGCCACCGCCCAGCTTCCGCGCTGTAGTGCTGGCTTGCGGCCACCAGGGGGAGCCCCGCAGCCGTCGCCGCCCCACCAGCTCCTGAACTGGGTACCAGGCTGTTGGTAAGACCCAGGCCGTCCCTACTTGGCTCCCTGCGCTGGGTGTGCGGTGTCACGGGCTCTGTGGCTCTGGTGTGCCTTTAACCTTTTGACTCTTGCCCTGTTTTTCGATCCTAATTTTCGTGGTTTCCTTTCCAGTACGACAGACTTTACCTGATCAAAGTAAGAAATTGTTCTTTCCTCCCTACTCCTAGAACTGTAGCGCTCCTCTGTCCCTCCCCTGCCCTCATCCCATCTCCAGACTCCTGGGCCTTTGCACTGGGGAGATGTGTAAGGAAGTCGCTGTTTCCAGGGGCCTTGGGGTCCCCCAGGGGCTTGCTCTGCAGACTTCTAGGAAAAGCATAGAAGCCTGCTCAGCTCAGCCCTCACCCAGCAGCTGTCTTTGGGCAGTTCTCCTGATGTCCCCTCCTCCCCTTCTGGCTAAATCCACTCATAGGTAACCTGTTAGAAAGCCCTTGCCCACTCCCTCATTCTGTTCTTCCCCCGCCCCCAGCCTTCTCTGCACAGGAGGACGGGGAGCTGAGAACCTGCTGGCCAGTGGCCTCATGGGTTCCAGAGGACACCCTCCAGGTCCACCGGCCCCTGTGAGTCAGGCCCCCCTGGCCCAGCAGCTCCTTTAGGGCTCGGTCCTCAAAAGCAGAGCCACAGGGCTTGGACTTGCCTCTGCGAGGCTGATGGGAGTTCAGGGACTCACGCCCACGTGGCTTGTTCTCAGGGGCTGCTGTGGATTTGGCCAGAGGGGTGGACACCCTAAGTGGTGATGGGTAACCAGCTGCCCAGAGAGTGCTGGATGGGGGCAGAGGCTTAGACAGAGGGACAAAAGTCCTTGCTCTGTGTATCTGACCTGGCAGTACCTGCGAACCCATATTCTTAACCCCAGTTTACACAAGCAGGTAACACATACAGAGGTACCACCCAGCGAGGCAAGCGAGGGGCCCGGCTTCCCTGGTGCAGGCTCTCAGTTGTCCTGAATCTCCCTGTTCTAGACAGGTTCAGAAGGGTTGGTTTGGTGAAACGCAGGCACACTGCGGGCGGTTGAGGCCAGCGGCTCCTAGAGCGTGCCTTTCCACTGTGGAGGCGTTCTCATGGACACTGCACAGCCGCATGCTGTGTGAGCTCAGAACCAGGACCCAGGGATTTTAGTGCCCTAAGGTGCAGATCGGGCTTCCCTGGTGGCTCAGTGGTAAAGAATCCACCTGCAGTGCAGAAGACATGGTTCAGTCCCTGGGTCTGGAAGATCCCCTGGAGAAGGAAATGGCAACCCACTCCAGTATTCTTGCCTGGGAAATCCCATGGACAGAGGAGCCTGGTGAGCTCCAGTCCATGGGGTCACAAAGAGTTGGGCATGACTTAGCAACTAGGCAACAACAAGGTGCAGGTAAAGTCTGACACAGCCTCCTTGCCCCATCCTCTCTCCTCCAGATTGACTAGAGGCTAATTTCCAGTCCACAGTCCCCTTGTGACAATAACGCCCTCAGTGATGGAATCATTTGGTTTTGAACATTTGGACTCGGGTTGGAGGAGAAGGCAAGGCTGTAGTGGGAATATGTGACTCCCAGATGGGGCCATGGGGACAGCTTTTGTTGGAAAATGACCACGGAGAGCATCCTGCAGAGAGAAGAGGGTTGAGATCCTGCCCTGCCGCCTGCCCCCTGGCAAGTGAGATAGGATGTGTGGATGAGCTGAGCCCCTGAGAGGCAGCACCCTCGCAGTGCCTCTCCTTCCCCTGCCGCCACTCTTCAGAGTGAAGGTGAAGGGCTCTACGGGGTTCTTCTGGCAGGATGAGGTCGCCAGTAAAGGGGGTGATGGCATGACCAGGCTTCATCTCTGCAGTCACACTCACCCCGGGCTCCACCAGACACTGGACAACAGACCTCCTGGGACAATGGCTGCCTCCTCCATCCCTTATGAGTCAGACCCCATAGGACGAGGTGGACGGGATAAAGGTTGCTAACTGTACCCAGGGTCCACACCTCTGCATGCACAGCCGTACCGTGGAGGGACCATCACAGTGAAGCAAAGGTTACAGTGCAGCAAGTCATGTGGCTTTTTTCATTTCCCAGTGTGTGTAAAAGTTATGTTTACCCTGCACCTCAGTCTGTCAAGTATACAATAGCATTCTGTTTAAAATAGCAGTGTACATTTAATTAAATTATAATTTAAAATAAAATGTTAATTAAAATGTAATGCTGTAGGCAAAATGACATCAATAGATTTGCTTGACATAGGACTGCCATTAACCTTCAATTTGTTTTTAAAAAAAATGCAATATCTTCAAAGTGCAATAAAACAAAATGTGTATAAAGTTAAGATGTGGACCCGTGGGCAAAGCTTCTTTGCACCCAGCCATCCTCCTCCTGAACCACACCCTTGGCAAAGCTTTTAAAACTGAAAAATACTCCTGTCGACCCAAGCTGAACCTGTCGGATCAGCCCCTCAAGGCAGGGGGCCTAGGCAGGTGTGTGTCTGTCTTATCTCTGTCTGCCTGTCTGTCTGTCTTCAAGTGGGACGTGTGTGAGGGACTCCTGGCCTGTGAGATGAAAGATGGACCAGGCACAATCTTACTCATCCCTCCTCTTTCCCTAAAAAAACTTCCCATTACTGCGAAGATGAGCAGCCTTCTAGCAGGACTGGGAATGGAGGACACCTGGATGGTGGAGTTGGGTCAGAACCATTGTATCGGTATTGACTTAGAGCCTCATGAAGTCAGGAAGAACCTTTAGCAATTACGTGCTTCACCTGTCCTCCCAAGGCAGAGCCCCAACTACTCCTTGGCCACTATCTCTTTGCCGATCAGCCAGTGGGGTGGAAGGAGGAATTTGCCCAGTTGGAGGGAAGTTTCTAGCGATCCCTTGGCTCCCCGACCCCAGAGGGCCCCGTCCAGCCTTTCCAAGGGGCTGACGTGGAGCGGACGGCTGTGTGAGTCTCCGTGGGTACTTTGCTTCTGATCAGGGACCATTGGGGACTGGGTCTCGGATGCCTGCAGCGCATCCCCCCCATACCCTGCCCCCATCCGAAGAGCCTTGTGATGGGGTCGACTCCCTCCCAGTTCTCGCTGGTGCTGCGCTGCCTGCCACCCCAGCCATGGGGGCTTCCAGCATGGACTGCTCCCCGGGCCTCCTTTCGGGAGCTGTCTTGAGAAAGGAGGACCCCTGCCCCCCACCCCGAGCAGCAACATGGGGGGCCTTGAGCTGCCTTGGGATTCCTCTTCCCTGCCCGCCCTCCGCTGTGTGTGTACCTTCCCCCTGGAGCCAGGAGTACTCCGGCCGTTCCTGCCACCTCTCCCTCCACTAATGCTGCTTTTCTTTTACTTTGTTCTTTCAGAAAAGCCAGAGCTGGTATAATGTAAGTATCCCTTTTCTCTTCTTGTTGGGCACGTGGTTGGGGATGGCCTGCTTAGAGGATGGGATCATAGGGGTACACTGTGGTCTCCCTGTGGGCTTGGAGCTTCAAACGGTGGACTTTGCCCCTGACCAGACCCCTCCCACAAAAACCAGACCACAGTTACCTTCTGTAGCAGGGCAGGACTGCTGGTGAAGCGGGGTGGGGGGGTGCAATTCCCGGAGACCACGCAGGGATGGACTGTCTCCCCGACCCGACCTCCTGGACCCCCAGGACCCTGGACAAGGGCCCTCCAGCCCTGACAGGAGACCAGGCTGGGGAGACCCCCCCCCCTCCCAAAGGGCAGACAGGACTTGGAACGGGGACCACCATCCTGGGGCCTGATCTTAAGGCCAAGTTTTCCTTCCTTTTACCAAGACATTTGGAGAAAAAAACAAGCAGCCAGAAACCTTTTCGTTTAGCAGAGGCTGGCTTCTGTAATAAGATGTGACTTCTGCCCCAGGGCCGCCTCAGTTGACCCCCAGCACGCTCCCCCCAGAACACATCCCCTGTCCCTGGGGAGGCTGTAGCCAGGAGCTCCTGCCGGGGGGCCGATTATGGAGTAAGCCGCCCCTGCAGAGGCCGCATCCTCTGGGTCACAGAGCTGGGGCTGAGGGTCTCGAACTTGACCCTGAAGAGCCACAGGCTGCAGCCCCAGCCGCCTGCCCCGTCCTGCTCCAGGCTCCTGCCCTGTGGACGGACAGGCGGTTCACAGCCGTCAACTGGTCTCCAGTCACTGTCTTCCATCCCGGAGCCTGCTCTTCCCAGAACTTGACCCCGACAGTCATGTGGACGCATCTTCCAGGCTCCCCTGACACGGGGGCAGGTTGCACGGTGGACCTGGGGACGTTGCGGGAGCAGGCGGCTGAGAGAGAGACTCGGAGGATGCTCTGGTGCAGGGGAGGAGGGGAGAGGCTTGGGTTTAATGTAGACGCTCCGGTCAGAGTCACTGTGTGTGGTGGGTGTGTTTTCCCACACGGCTCAGCAGTTCCCCCAGAATCAAGCAGCCAGCAGTCAGCCCTGTAGTTTCCGACCCACTGCTGCTCAGGGGACTGGCCCTGAGATAGGACTGTTGGATCCCCGCCTTGGCATCACAGCGGCACAGACAAGGAGGAAGTTGGCGGGCCGTGCGGGTGGGAGGGGAGTTGAGGGCTGAGATGGCCCCCCGGGGGGAGAAGCCTTCCTGAGGCTGCAGCCCCTCAACCCCCGGGCCCACTGTGGTCTTCACCTGGGCTCGTGGCCACCCCGTGGCTTAGGGCTGACATCCTGGGAGAGAAGGGAGCTCGCTGTATGTGGGAGGAGCTGAGGCTGGAGAATGCTTTCCTGGGAGTGGGTAGGACCTCCAGCACCCTTTCCCTCACGGAATCTTCCACCACCCGGGGTGGGAGGTGGGGGGCTATTGTAAAATTAGGGCCTCACAGGGGACCAGGAGACACGTGGCTGCAGACCCACAAGACAGTTCAAATGACCGGATTTGGACACCAGGGCCTCATCCCTGTTGCTCTCCCTCTCCCCTGCTCCTCTCTTTTCCTTCCAGCAGGCTTTTCCATTCTTTCTTGCGTTGCCTTCCCTAGAGTCCTTCCCTCCCCTTTCCTGGCTAACTCCCCCATTTTCGTTTCTCCACCTCCACTTGCCGCTCCTTCCTGGCTCCGTTATCCCGACTGGCTGGCTCTTTTCTCTCTGATCCTAGCAGGTTTTTCCCCCTCCTACCCTTTCACCTCTAATCTCTCCCTCTGCCCCGCTCAGAAGACCTGGTGTCCGAGCCCTCAGCAGAGCGAGAGGCTAGAAATAGATGCTGCCCCTTGGCTGGATGATGGAGGTGGGCCAGCTGCCCTGTGGGGCCCGGAGGTCAGGGGGTTCTGCTGGCAGATAAGCAAGAGGTTGCAGAGCTGAGCAGGCGGATTCTTCACCACTGAGCCACCTGGAAAGCCCACTCCCAGGTACCAGTGTGCTTATCCACGGGCACGGCCTGAGCGTGGCTGTGCTCCCAGGCCGGATGGTCTGACTCGATCGGGAAGCCGGGTCCTGGGGGCTTCCCCCACTGGAGCCTGAGCTCAGCCTGCTGAGCCCATGCACACGGGCGTGCCAGGCCCCGTCCCCCTGCCTGCATGCCAAGGCCCCACCAGGAAGCTTCCCTTCAACACCCGCTCGCCAGCACTGCCCCCCAGCGTTCCATTCCTGGTTTCTCAGGAGGCCCTTGCCGCGTCCCTGTTGCTCTGACCCGGTGCTCTTTTTCCTCCATCTACCCAGTCCTGCCGCGTCACCTCTGCGTTGCCCGGAGGCGGCTGGACTTGGACCATCAGGAAGGAGGCGAGGTCTCCTCCTCAGGTCTGCCCTCAGCCTCCCTGCCCCTCCCCTGACACCGGTGGTGACTCTCCAGCTGCTGCGCTGCCCATGGCTCCATCATTGGCTCTGGAAGTCCTTGGGATGAGCAGAGGCCTTGTCGTCCTTGGCCCTGGAGACAGTTAGGAGTGCCTGCCGGATGCAGGACAGGGAGGGTCAGCGCAGACTTGCCGACTGCTGCAAGAACGTCTCTAGCCCGTTGGCGTGGCCTGGGTCTGATATGAGAGGAAGCACACCCAATGCCTCCCTGCCCCCTGCCCCAGCCTCTGCCTCTACCTGCCTCTCTTCTGCATTTCTTCTTCTATCTATTTAGCCAGGGAGGAACTGTCACCATGGTGACAAACCACCTTGGCATTGATAAAGAGTGGGTTCCATGGAAGGAGGTGTTTGGACCCCAGGGAGACATGGAAAGGCTGAGACAAGAGCCTCTGGTCTCCAGCAAGGGCTCTTCAGATCAAGAGTGGGGTTTGAGGGACTTCCCTGGCTGTCCAGTGATTAGACCTCTACACTTCCCAGTACAAGGGGTGTGGGTTCAATACCTGGTCAGGGAACTAAGATCCCACCTGCCGTGCAGCATGGCCAAAAAGAGTGGGGCTTGAAGCAGGAGGCTGTCAGCAGCTGCCCTGAGTACCTCCCAAGGCTGATCACATCTACTGCCCCTGAGTTTCCCCCTTCTCCTCCCCACCCTCTAGCCCCGCCAGACCACCCCAATTTTATTTGTCAAGGCGCCTAGTTTCGGGGATAAGTTCACGGAGGGATAAGCTGAACAGGGAGCGAAGGGGAGAGTTGGGAGCAGGAGGGGGAATAATCTGCCCCCCCCCCCCAAAGATGGCCCTGTTGGACGCAGCAGACTCAGATCTTGGAGGAAGCCAAGTCACAGAAGTCTCTTCCTGATGCTCCAGGTGGACAGAGATGCTTCCTCACCTGCCTTGCCTCTTTCCTGGGATCAGTTGTCTCGAGGCAACCCAGGGAAGGAGGCCAGACCTCTGGTGGCTGCCCTGAGGCTTTGGGGCCCAAGTTGCCTGCTGGTCCAGGTGGGGATGATGCTGGCTGTCTGGGGGGAGGGATGGCACCAGTCCTGTGAAGTGACTGGGCAGGTCTGGCACACATATGACTGAGCAAGAGGACAGAGCTTTGTAGGAATGAAACTCGGATTAGGGCTTTGGTGAGAAAAGTGGGAGTGAGAGCTGAAGGCATCCCCAAGGACCCCTTGGCAGCCTGGTATTTTTTTCTGGGGGAGATGGACTCCGCTTCCTCCACCTGCATTCATCTCCCCACTGTTATCTACCCACTGACCCCCGCATCCCCAGTAGCCGTCTTGACTCTGCGGAGTGACCCGTCTCCAACTGAGACCTCTCCCAGTCCTGCTCCTCTGTGTCTCTGTTACACCTTCACCCTCCCCTCCTCCTTCCTTTGCTCAGTCACCTCTCCCATCGCCACTGCCCATAGCCCACATCCGGCTCCTCCCTACCTGGATTTGGTTGAAAGTCCAGCATTTCCTCTGAGGGTCTTAACTGGCTTTCTTCCTCGGTGAGGCCAACATTCTACCAAAATCCATCTGTTTTTCTCCTGGGCTCCTCCACCCTCTCCCTCCTGCTGCTCTGCCCAGGGAGCGGGTACCACTTTGTCCCAGCTCCCAGTGTTTGCCGTCGAGTTAATGTTTAGCCCAGGTCACTTCCCTCTCCTCAGACTGGAAGCTGGCAGTGCCTCTCCCCGTGGCAGTTGTGCTGGGGGAGGGGGGGGAGGTTGTAGGAGACAAAGGGTCCCAGGGCTTATCTTTCTGGGTGTGTACTGTCCCTGAGTCACCCCACTGGAGCCCAGTCGTCTCCTCATCTGGCTCCAGAGATACTCTGTTTCCAGGATTCAGCCCTCATGGGTCCTGGTTACTGCCTAGATCGTCGAATCTGGGGTGGCCCAGGAGAGGGGCATTCCCATCACCCTGTGAAGTGGAATTGCTGGGTTCTCCTGTCCCACTGCTGATGATAGCATGGAGAGAAGCTAGGATATGTGGCTTGGAGAGTGTTGGCATAGACTAGGCTCTGGGGTGCCATGCCTATAGGAGTGCGGACGTGTAAGGATGTGTGCACACGAGATGCCATGTCAACAGGAACAGTGTCAGAGGTGTATAAGGGATGCGTTCATTTGGTAAATAGGTGTTGAGCAGCTGATACTTGAAATTCACCCTACAGAGTGCTGGAGGAGATTGATTGAGGTGTAGCGTGTTCCTGGAGACGGTGGTAGTCTCTGTGATATGATGGGTGGAGGTGGTGGCTGCATCCGGGGTGTGGACAGAGACAGATAGGAACACAAGTCCTGGAAAGGACTCAGAATCTTCCTCTGCTTCTTCCAGCACCATATAACTGAGAGACGCCAAGTTCCTCTGAATCAGAATTTGGGGATCTAGAGGCAAGAATCTGTATCTTGCATACATTTCTTAGATCATTTTTAAGAACAGTCAGGTCTGAATGTTACTGCTCCAAATAGGACAAAGGCAATGTTCTCCATTGTGTGCAGCCTGGAGACCCTCCTGGCAAGGTGGACGTAGCTGGGAAGGTCGAGGAAGGTGCCCAGTTTGTCTCAAAGTTCTGGCGTTTCCTGGGAATCCAACCTTCCCGGCCCCAGTGCTGTCTGACCTCTGCCCCCAGCTTCTCTTTCTGGAGGCCTCCTTGTTCCCATCAGCCTGGCTCCTGTCCTCACCAAAGATCTCAGCTTCTCTGCTCCTATTGACCTGGCCCAGTCTCTGCTCAGAGCATGGCTCCTTGGCCGCCAAGGTCTGAGCGGCTGTCTGGGAATCCTCATCCTGGCCTTTATCCCCATCCTGCTAGAACTGGAGGCAGGACAGTGTCCCCGGGAAGGAAGGAGATGCCTCAGACGGACCTGGAAACTGCTGACTTCAACTTCTCCCAACCTGCACCTCTGAAATGGGATGAGTTCAACTTCCAGCCTCCTGCTGCTACTCTGGGGAGGTCGATGGATGGATGGATCAGTGAGGGGCGAGTGTGTCTGCAAGACGTCCCTGGCTGTTTTGCGTCTTCAATTTTAGATTTCAGCATAACAGCAGTGCCCCTGGCACCTCCTCCCGGCCCTTCCCCCACTCGGAGCCTTGGCCAGCTACTTTCCATTGCAGGAAACATCTGCTGGGGAGGCCAGGCTCGGCCGGGGGTTACTGCAGGACGTTGGCCGGGACCGTCACCCAGGTCCTGTAACTTGAGGCATGTGTAGGGCTCTGGCCCTGCCCGCTCACCCGCCCAGCCGCCCCCCTCCCTCCTGCCACGGATGACTCTTAACAAAGAAGTTGTTTGCTGGTCAGCCGAGAGGAGCTCGGCCTGGGAGGAAAGGGGGGTGTGTACGGGTAGGGGTGGGAGCAGACCCTGGTGCCTTGGCCAGCGGTGGCCACGCTGCCTGGGTGAGGACCGTGAGTCATAGCCACCAGCGCCCGCCCAGGGGAGCGATTGCACGTCGAACGGGCTGCCTTGTGGGACCGGCCAGACGGCACTGGGGCGTTGGGCATCCATCCTCCTGGGAGCTTGAAACCTGCCACAAGCCACCGGGCTGTGAGTGAGCCGCGGCGGGGCGGGCCTCTGGCGGCCCCGTGCACCTGCCCCGTCGTCTGCGTCCTGGCCGCTCGGAGCAGCTGTCCACACGACCTGGAGAAGGGGCTTCATCACATCCCCTCTGGGTCACCGTCAGCCCAGAGACCTGCCGCGCTGGGAGCCAAGTGGGGTGAAACAGAGCCCGGCCCCGGGAGGCTGGCCAGCCAGCCTGTCCCGAGAACCATGCTGACCACACCCGCCCCGTTGTGAAGCTTGGCGCTGGGAACCAGGCTCAAGGGGAGCCAAGGAGGTATCGAGGGTCACACAGACCCTCTTCTGAGGAGCCCGAAGCCGCCCGTCCACGTCCAGCCCGGGCGAGACTGACTGACTGCACCCTGGGGGCACGGTGAGGGATCTGAGCTCGAGGATCAGCGTTCCGTGGGGAGGTAGCCTGTGGGAGCAATGGAATCTCTGACGGAATCGGGGGTCCTCTGGAGCCTCCTGCTGGAGCAGGACAGCCAGCCTTTGCAGCAGCACCTGGAGAAGCTGACGGAGGGACCTGCCGGTGCAGAATTCTGCTGCCGGCCCGGGTCTGAGGAGATCCCCGCCGTGAGTGCATGTCCTTGGCTTCTCTGTGCTCTGGGGGCCCCGGGTTTGACAATCCTTGGACCAAAATTCTTTGGCTGTTTAAAATGAAAACACATGAGCCTTGCTTCTCCTTCTGTGGGAGATGGCTTTAAGGGCACAAGGACGCCAGGGAGAGTGGGTCATCGTCTCCCACGTCAGTAAGGTAGCTGGTGGCAGCCGACTAGTATCTCTGTACTTTAGACCCTGGGAGGCTAGCTGGCCTGCCTTCCACGCTGGCAGCCTGCTTGGATCAGGCCACTGATTTGCAGGCCTGGGTTAAGGGGTTCCTACACCCCAGGAAGCCCTCGCAGAACTGGCTGACCTCCAAGATCAGGGCTGGATGGGCCCTCCCCTCCTGACAGCCAGGGCTGTGTTTGAGGAGAGGAGGGGAGAGGGTGTCTCCCTCAGTTTGCCTCTGGTTTGGAGATTAGGGCCCGGCTCCCTGCACCTGCATCTCTGTTGATATCTGAGTCCTCACTGGATGTGAAAGAAGCAGGGGTGACAGCACCGTGGAGAGCGTTAGAAATGGGAAGACTTCCAGGCTGGGGTAACTGCATGTCTGATGTTCAGTTTCAACTGAGGGGGATTTGGGGCCATCTGGTAGGCTCATCCTCAGGCTGTATCGGAACTTTGTAAATACAAAGACTGACTTGACGAATAGTTTTTGTTTTGTTTTTTTTTAATTGTGAGAGTTCCCTGCCAGTCCAGTGGTTAGAGACAGTGCTTTCACTGCCAGGGCTCTAGGTTCGATCCCTGGTCAGGACTAAGATCCTGCAGGCTTCACGGTGTGGCAAACACACACACACACACACACACACACACACACACACACAAATAAATTGTGGTAAAATACATGTAACACAAAGTTTACCATCTTAGGTATTTCTAAATGTATATTGCAGTAGTGTTAAGTAGGTTCACATTGTTGTACGTAAAATTTCTGGAACTTGCAAAATTGAAACTATACCCCCCCCCCCAAAAAAAGATCCACTTGCAGGCATGGAAGGCTAGTGGGGACCTCCACATAAGTTACTATCTCATCACCAAGAGGTTGTTCTCTGCTGGGGCTTGCCGGTGGCTCCCTTCTTGGCTCAAGGACCCCAAGCCCATGCCGAGTGACGGCTCAGACCAGGAACTGTGGACCACACTGTGCTAATAACTGGTTACACTCTCATTTGTAACCGTGTGCCTCGGCAAGTTGCTTAAACTCTGTGCCTCCGTTTCCTCGAGTCTAAAATGGGATAATAAAAACGACCCTGCAGTCAGACGAAAGGATGTGAAAGGACTTAGGACAGTGCTTGATGCATGGTCATTCCTCACTCCGTGTTAGCTCTATGATGTCGGTCAGGAACTTCTAGACAGGTGGTCAGGCAAGGGTTTTCAACGTGTGGACTCTTGTTCTGTGAGGCCAGGGAGCCTCACACTGAGGTTGGATATCTCTGTATCATTTTGAAACTAACATGTAGGTCAGAGGAGTGTTGTCTTCTGAGGTCTTTTCTAGCTGTCGAAGTCACGGGGCAGGCTGGCTTCCAGACTTTCCCTCCCAATGAGTGATCCTGATTCTTGGAAGTTTGGGATTCTACAGCACATCATTGCTTTGGGGAAAGTAACAGAGGATCCCCCTGGAAATACAACTCATTTTATAAATGAGCCAAAACAGAAGTTTAAATTTTAAATGAACTATGGGCAAAGTGGTTGAAAGCACTGTCTTCTCTCACGTGGAAAACCTTCCCAAACTGAAGTCGTGCTATTCTCTCCTCCAGCTTCCTAAAATCCTCCTCTTCTCTCTAGCACAGGTGGTCAGCTGAGCTGAGGTAGTCAGAACCTGCTGCCAGGGTGGCCTGGCTACAGGCTGTTAGTTCTGCAAAAAGCCAAAAAACTAGCTGTGAAGCTCACTCCATTGTTGCCACAGCTAGTGGATTCCCAGGGAAGTGGGTGAGAAAGTGTAAATGGCCAAGACGCGTCAGTCAGCGATACCGGAACAGTCTGCCTACCTTTATGTGCTCCTGACATAAGTAGGTCAACAGGTCACCTGAGTGGAGCTCAGATGGTCTGTATCATGATACCTGACCCTTCCCGGGTTGTGCATTTGTCTTCGTGTATCATCCTTGGGTTCCTTTCATCTACGGGCACACGATTGTAAGCTTGGAAAGAGCAGAATTCCTGTCTGATCAACTGGTTTATGGGATTTCCTAGAAGGATTCGCCGAGGCAGTATATCGTTAGGAGTTTGCATTGAGGCACCAAAGAGGTTGGTGGATGCAGGGATGTCTGGCAGCTCAGGTGGTGGCGGGAGGTGAGCTCGGAACCAGGGATCCAGAGATTTGCTCCTGAGCGGCCAGGGGACCTTGGGCAGGGACCACTGTCTGAGCTTGGTTTCCTTGATGGTAACATAAAAGAGTTGGATTAGATAGTCTTGTAAGCGATGGTGAGCAAATGAAGTTTCAGTACCTCAAGTTGCCAGTTAGGCTTTTAATTCTCAATTTGTGTGCTTTTATCAGTACTAGTTTTATGGGTTTTTAAAAATCCAGGCCAATTCTGCCCCTCCCCACACCAGTTTTATTGCAATATAATTGACATAACACTGTACTGGTCTTACGTTTTGTGATTTTTTTTTTCTTCTGTCGTAAATTTCAGACACAGCCAAGTGCTTATATTACTCATGATGACAGCTTCTGAGAGCTGCACTGGGCACCATCATGTATCCTGGGTCCTGCTGTGGGGATTGGGGGTCCCCTTGGGCCCCTACTTCACTGTCAGCTGGTGCTTCCTGCTGGTGGGAGGCAGGACAGCAATACCCCGGAGCAGTCCCCCTCTTCCTTTCTCCACTTGGGATGTGGTTATGTGAGCCCTGCTTAGTAGGGTTGACATTTTCTCACTGATGGACACTGGGCAACACTGGGTACAAAGCCCTTGGCAGCTTCAAATTCTCTCCACCATGTTTTTCCACACTGAGCCCCCTTTGCCTAGCCTGGCCTCCTGGGGTCTCTGCCTTAACTGGAACCTCAGCTTTGCCTTGAAATATGCAAACAGGCTCTCCTCCTGCACCTTCCTCCCCAGCCCATGAACCTAGCAGCATCCCACTAACCTTGGCCATTGTCACTCAGGTGTTAAGCCCCACGTACAAGCAGAGAAATGAAGACTTCAGAAAGCTCTTTAAGCAACTTCCAGACACGGAGCGCCTCATTGTTGGTGAGCGGGGTGACCTGGGTGTGTGGGGGCAGGAAGGAAGGAAGGCTGCTTCTCTGACTAGAGGGTTCCCAAGTGAGAGCGTCTGTCTGGGAACGGGGAGAGGAAACATCCAGAGTGCTGACCCAGTGATGGGGGCTCAGGGCTGAGCCCCCTGTGTGTGATGGCCTCCAGAGAGCCCCGCCTGGGGCCTGCCACTCTTGTGTCTGCAGATGGCCCAGCAGGGGACTGGAGGGGGGAGTGGCATTAGCGGAATTGTATTGGCCTTTCTGCCTCTAATGTTCTTGCTTCCTCTGCGGTCTCATCCATGCCTCTGCCTCCAGGCAGTAGTGTGTTCCACACCCTTCATGTTCCCAATCTGGAGCTGCTAGGGACCCCCTGGATCACTAGGCTGGTATCTCTCACACCTCGTCTGTGGTGGGCAGCTGGGCTCCCTGGCACGGGGGAGGGGGGGCAGTGCCTTGTTCAGTTGTCGTGGTTCGCTGAGAAGGCCCGAGTCCCTGAGCTCCACCCCCCATTCTGCTGCAGACTACTCGTGTGCGCTCCAAAGAGACATTCTTCTTCAGGGCCGACTCTACCTCTCCGAAAACTGGATCTGCTTCTACAGCAACATCTTCCGCTGGGAAACTCTGGTAAAGATTGGGGCTTCCCTGGTGGTCCAGTGGGTTAGGACTCTGAGCCTCCATTGCTGGGGTGCATGGGTTCGATCCCTGGTCAGGGAACTAAGCTCCCACTAGCTGCAAAAACTAAATAAAACAAACAAACCAACCTGAGACTTGCTCCCCGAGGCTGTCCCCTGGGCTGTGGCCGAGGAAGCGGCCTCCACTTTTGTTCTTTGATCAACTTCGTGCTCTACCCAAGCCTTTGCATAATTCACAAAAGCACGTGCCGGAGTCTTGAAGGATAGGTTTCTCTACCATGCCTTCCCCTCTTCCCTCTTTCTTGGGTATGGTAAAGAGTGTGAAGACCATTTGATTTTGGGCAAGTGCAGGTAAATATTTGTGCTTCCCTGGTTGGCTCAGTGGTTAAAAAAAAAAAAAAAAATACACCTGCAATACAAGAGACGTGGATTTGATCCCTGGATAGGAAAGATCCCCAAGAGAAGGAAGTAACAACCCACTCCAGTATTCTTGCCTGGGAAATCCCACAGATGGAGGAGCCTGGCAGGCTATACAGTCCATGGGGTCACAAGAGTTGGGCATGACTGAGTGACTAAACCACCTCCACCACTGTTATAGCCACGCTCTCCGGGAAACAAACTCACTCAGAAGGACAATGCAGATAGTGGAGTGCAGTGTATTACACCGGCGGGCCCAAGGCAGAGTCTCCTCTTAGCCAAGGACCCCGACCAGCATTTGTGAAAATCTTTTATACCCCATGTGTACGTGTCCAAACCCACCACCCCAAATTCCTTGAAACTTACATAAACAAAGGAAGGGTAAATACGACTACAATAACCCCATCATTCACGTGTTATGTGTTCGAACAGTTAATAATCATTAAGCCCACGGTTACATTCCAACCAGTTAATAACCCATAAGCCTGTGGTTACATTCCGATAGATACTGTCCAGCGGCAGGGGTGATTAGTGTCTGTTTTCTCTTAGGTGATGAGTAACCTGGATATGATGTTCAAGGATCCCCTGTCCGGAGGGGATCTTATCCTTCCATTGTCATTCCCACAGGCACTAAGCAGGGAGTTCAGGCCACTGGAGAGGCGGCCGAGCACGATCAGCACAGACAGGCCTGAGATGGAGTCCAGGCCCTATGAATCCCTTCTTCACCATCACAGAAGCAGAATAGTAGAGTCAGAGGAACCTTGACCTTGCGACTCGGCAGAACTGGCTTGTACTTTCTGGGTTCTGCAACCAGTTAACCATGCAATTTTAAGCTAGTCCTTTATTCTTCATTTGCCTGTTTCCTAGTCTTGCAAAATAAAGTGAGAAATGATGACTAGATAGGTGACTGTAAGGTCCCATCCAGTGCCAGGGTTCTGTGTTTCTGTAAGTGGCAGATGGTGATGGGATCTGTGCATGTTTATCAGGCTGTATACAAATGAGAAAGCAAGCTCCCTGGACCAAGAATCAAGAAACCTTGAGCTTCCAATGAGGCTTGCTCTACAGCCTCTGAAATAAGGCACTCAACCAAGTGATCTCTGAGGAAGTTCTGTAGCAGTTGAGAAGCACATAGCCTGTGGTCTGCTTCCTCTGTGTGAACTGGTGCATGGGGAACATGCTTCACCTGACTCTGTTAATGCTGCCTCTTGCTTGTTTTCCTCTTCTGTTTCTGTGCGATGCCAGCTGACTGTGCGTTTGAAAGACATCTGCTCCATGACTAAAGAAAAGACAGCTCGCCTCATCCCCAATGCCATCCAAGTTTGCACTGACTCAGAAAAGGTAAGTAGGGTCTGACCTTGGACTTAATACTCCCCCAAACCCTAGTGCCTGTACTTCTGGCTTCCTACCCTTTAGTTGCATTAATGAAGAAGCCAGTAGGATTAGGGTGAGAAGTGGTAAAGTGATGTGGGTTGTGGAAACCACGTCTCTGGTGGGCAGGTGCTTAGAGTCTAGCAGGGTCATGAGAGTGGAATGCTACGACATTGAACTTAGAGCCAGAACACCTGAAATAGAGTCCAGTGGCTGTAGGTACATTATGTAACCTAAGCCTCAGTTTTCTTACGTGTGAAATGGAGCCAGTGATGCCTATTTGTCAGAATCTTGGAATGACCTCCCACATTTGAAAACACTAAATTGTAAAGGTCTAAACAATGTTCAGTTGTGTCATTATGTATCAGGACAGCTCATCAAAAGAAGTGAGGAGTCTGATAGGAAACATATTGTCTATATTGTTGCCACGGAGAAGATGTGGTAGATAAAATTTAGAGTGGAGAAAGCACTGTGATCTTTGACCTTTAACCAGGCCCTGAAGACTGATACTTTCAGGGCTAAAGATGGACTGAACACAGGTCTACAATGCCCTTCGACTCAGGCTTTACAGGATCAAGAGCCCTGAGACCTCAAGGTCCGATAGTCTTTGCTTTGAGTTCTGCTTCTAGCATGAAGCAGCTTTGTGATTACAGGGGTCACCTACCATCACCACCCTATTTCTCTTTATTGAATATTAGCAGTTGTGTTTATTTTCCAAGGTTTTAGCATGGTTTAAATGAAATAGTATTTGTGAAGCACCTAGAATGTCTTCAGTAAAATGTGGTTTTCTGTTGCATTCTTCCCGCATATTATAAAAGATCCCCACAAATGTGTAGGCTTCTTAAGAGCAACAGTTTCTTTCTGTTTTGTTATTGAGCTCAAAATATGTAGAAAAGTGTTTGCACATGCATTAGTGTATGTTCATGTAGAAAAGGGCACACACTGATATTCAAGTGTTTGCTGAATTAATGAATCAAAGGGTAACTAGTGGGTTTACCTTCTTCCTTTGGGCTGGTTCCCAGCTCACCACTTACCAGTCTATGTACGGAGGCAAAGGAAGCTTTTTATGGAGGTGAAAACTTCAAACCAGAAACAGAAGCACTGAGCAAGGTTGGATGAACATTGAAGGACTCAGAGACAGTGTGTGACTCAGAGATCTCGGGTGCCTGGACCATGGCAAAGGACTTGAAGACAGTGGGTAGCTTAGCAAGCTGACCCCTTTCACTGCAGAGCCCTGTGCTGTCCTCATGGGTGCAGTAGAGGATGGAATAAGTCGCTTTTTAATTTTTTTTTTTTTTTTTTAATTTTTGTCCATGTCACACAGCATGTGGCTTAGTTCCCTGACCAGGAATCAAACCCATATCCCCTGTGTTGGAAGCATGAAGTCTTAACCACTGGACCACCAGGAAGATCCCTCAGTAGCTTTTTTAAAGGAAGGAGTCCCATGTCTCTATCCATTATTTTGTAAGTCTTCACAGACATTTCTTGCCATTTTCTCTTTCAATCCAGCACTTTTTCACTTCGTTCGGGGCCCGGGATAGGACGTACATGATGATGTTCCGGCTCTGGCAGAATGCTCTCCTGGAAAAGGTAAGTCCTGCCTGGCTCCTTCCTCAGCCTCAGGATGCACACGCACTAGAATGTCCCTGCCGCTTGGTGGGGGCCACTGAGGTGACTGCTCTTGCTGCAGCGTTGGCCTACTCCTAGGAAGCCCCTGCTTCCCCCTGGTTCTGGAATTCCTCCAGGTATGCAATAACGCTATATTGTAAAGGTCTAAACAATGTTAAGTTGTGTCATTATGTATCAGGACAGCTCATCAAAAGAAGTGAGGAGTCTGATAGGAAACATATTATCTATATTGTTGCCACGTAGAAGATGTGGTAGATAAAATCTAGAGTGGAGAAAGCACTGTGATCTTTGACCTTTAACCAGGCCCTGAAGACTGATACTTTCAGGGCTAAAGATGGACTGAACACAGGTCTACAATGCCCTTCAACTCAGGCATTACAGGATCAAGAGCCCTGGTGACTCAGGTGCTGAGAGTAGCGTGTCCTCTTAAGTGAACAACCTCCTGGCTGCCTGGAGTGAGGCCCTGTTGACTTAGGACACTCAGTTCTGCTGTTTTAAAATGTACTGGGGTTTGTTTCAATCAGGTGTGGTGAAACACACAGACACAGGAATAACTGTCATGAGGAAGAGGTTTTTATACTCACAGATCTCTGGAGCAGAGGCCCAGCATACCATATAGGAAGCTCCAGGTTAGTCAGGAGGCAGAGAGAGCAAGGGGACAGCAGAATAAGAGCCTTCATTTCACAGGGACAAATGAGTGTTGCTGTTGCTTATTCTCCCAGTTGTATCCGACTCTTTTGCAGCCCCATGGACTGTAGCCCACCAGGCCCCTCTGTCCATGGAGTTTCCCAGGCAAGAATCTTGGAGTGGTTTGCCACTTCCCTTTCCAGGGGATCATCTTGATCCAGAGATCAAATGTGAATCTCCTGCATTGGCGGGTGGATTCTTTACCACTGAGCCACCTGGGAAGCCCAAGCAGGTTTAGGACTGGCTAGTTTGAATGTTTCATCAGGCTTCAGGATAGAGAGACTTCTCTCCAGAGAGACTGTCCAGGGATAATTAGTGCAAGAGAGAATTGGCCTGGAATGTGAGAGCTAGAAAAGGGAGGTCCTTGGGGTGTGGGCTTTGGCTTGGAGGCTTTACCTAGAAAAGGTGTCTTTCCTCATGGGGTGATTTTTATCTGTAGAAATCAGCTCATCCTGCAAGGGGCAGGCCCTCCACAGTCAGCAAGGCCTTAGATGTCAGAACATGAAAAACACAGAAAATAGGATTGGGAGTTTATGATTAGCAAATGCAAAGTATCATATATATAGAATGGATCAACAACAAGGTCCTACTGTATAGCACAGGGAACTCTATTGAATATCCTCTGATAAACCAAGCTGGAAAAGAATATGAAAAAGAATATATTGATATATATGTATATGTGAATCACTTTGCTGAACAGCAGAAATTAACACAATATTATGAGTCAACTATACTTCAATAAAATAAGCCTTTTTTTAAAAATACAGAAAGTAGGAAAGTAGAGTTAATATAGCCACAAGTTGACCACCTGAGTGAAGGGGGCTTTGTGGGAGATGCAGATGAAGGAGACGTGGCTGAAGGTGATAGAGAATTCCCATGCAGATGCCAAAGTGGGGGGTTAAGAAACAGCCTCCCTGCCAGAGGAAGAGACTTAGGGGGGAAATTATATGATTATATAATAATTCCAATTGTATATGTGACATGTATATAGTTAGGTATAATGTGTGTATCTACCTTGACTCTAGCCCAAACTTACCATCATCTAAAGGAAATTGAACAGATGTGTTACTTAGAGCTTCTTCTAACCTGAAAGTCTGTAGCCCTTGTGTAAATCCTGATAACTGGAGTTGATCATCAACCTTTATCAGCCACAGATAGTGGCAAAATGATAATACCTTTGGGTCTCCACTGGCAGGTTTGAATTTTCAGCTCACAACCACTGTCATTTCTAAGACAGAGGGTCATCCATATGGTTTGCAAAAACTCTCACAAAATAATCAAGAATTCCGCCTGATGTGCAGAATCTGCCAACTGTGCTTGTCCCAGCTGTGGTCAGACCAGCTGAGCCCGGTGGACTCAGGCAGGGAAGGCTGCGTGGGGAAGGCGATCTGTGAGGAAGGGGAGGGCGTGGTCCCGCAGGGAGGCCCGGCGGATAGTCTCCATGACAGCTGGAGGGAGGAGGTCCAGATACAGGAGAAGCAAGTGCCTTCCTCTGGGATCGGGAGAGCCAACACAGAGAGCTACCCCCCAACACACACACACACACACACACACACACACGCTACCCCCCCCCCCCCCCCCCCCCACACACACACACACCCTGGACCTTGCTGGCTCAGAGAGAACTCTGACTCTGCTATTCTGAGCATTTCTCCACTGGGAACCTGAAACCCTGGCTCATGGCATCCTGCCAGCTGCCTGCTTCTTAAACTGTACCTTAAAACTGGTGGTGGTTTAGTTACTAAGTCGTGTCCGACTCTTGTGACCCCACGGATTCCAGGCTTCTCTGTCCATGGGATTCTCCAGACAAGAATACTGGAGTGAGTTGCCATTTCCTTCTCCAGGGGATCTTCCCAACCTAGGAATTGAACCTGGGTCTCCTGCATTGCAGGTAGATTCTTCACCTACTGAGCTATGAGGGAAGCCCATACCTTAGAAGGGTGGCATCAAAAGAAGGCTCAAATTCCTTATCAGGTCTATTGGTGGGAACATTCTTTACTGCTTCTGTTATTCTTAACATTTCTCTTTTTCACATATGTATCCTTCCCAATGTCTCTCCCTCCCCCCAACCCAGGACTCATCCATGATCTCCACCTTTGACCTTCATTCTTTGACATTCTGTTGCCTCTTACCTGAAACTCTGAACCTCAGTGAGATTTAACCTTTCTTAGGACAGTGCTTTTGAGAAGAATATGTAGACATCCAGTGAAATGAGAAAAACTTTATATGGAACTATTACACAGACCTGTAGGCAAACTGATTGTGATTAAGGATAAATCACAGGCAGTGAAGTGAGAGTTGGATACAGTGACCTTTGAGGCCCCTGAAGCTGTGAGAATGTCAGCTTCTTTCCAAGCACAGGAAATGCCCAGCTGAGGAATGGGCCACCTTGGAGGTGTCACACCTCATTCCTGGATCTGATCCATTGGGGCCTGTGAGGCCACTATTACTATCAGGAGATTCCTGCTGAGTCGGGGAGACTGACTCAAAGGTGACTCATTATGAGTCCAGCTCAGAAGCTCTGTGATCATTCTGGCCCCAGAGTACCTTGGTTTATGCTGCTTAATGCCGGGCTTCACCTGCAGGAGCAGGAGACAGGCAGTTCAAGGGCCTATCGGTCCTACTGTGCAGACCTGAGTTCAGGGAACAGGTCAAATTTCCTGGCTTTGCTAAAAGCCGTGTTCTTAGGGGAAAAACTGAGATCTGGAGCAGAGGGCAAGGCAGGGGTGGGATTGTCATGGAGCTGCCACTCTCCACTTGTCCAGCCAAGGAGGGTGGAGCTTGGCTTCTCATCCCTCGAGGGAGTCCAGCGACCTCGGTGCCTCTGTGGAGAGTGGGGTCCCGAGGAAGGGAGGGTCGAGCCTCTCTGCTGTCCCCTGCAGCCGCTGTGCCCCAAGGAGCTCTGGCACTTCGTCCACCAGTGCTACGGGAACGAGCTGGGCCTGACCAGTGACGACGAGGACTACGTGCCCCCCGATGACGACTTCAACACGATGGGGTGAGCGAGGCAGGGGGCAGGCTGCCTGCGGGGAGCCTTCCAGAGGGGCGAGAGTGGCATCTAAGTCAGGCCCTGAGGGAAGCGAGGGGGGCACCCGGGAGGGGACTGTGGGAAGCCCCTCCCAGATGGAGGAAGTGGGTGGCTGGGCCGGCCAGCCAAGGCCAGGTGGGAAGTGGGAGGTCAGGCTGGAGTCTGAGGGCCGCTGGGCCAGCATGATTTCCTCAGGAGGCTGAGAAGCCAGGGAAGGCTTCAGATAGATAATTGATGAGACCTGACTTAACATTTTAACATCACTGTGGCTCCTGGGTTGAAGACAGACTGAAGGGGAACCAGGGCAGACTGGCTAAGAGGCTGCTGAATAATTTAAATCCTGTAGATGAGAGGTGATGGTGGTTTGGACCAGGAGAGTAGCTATAGAAACAGCAGTAAGTGGTTGGTTTCTTAATATATTTGGAAGATAGAACCAGACATATTTTGGAGGATTTGCTGATGAGTCAGAAAGGACCCACAGTGGCTTTAAGGATCCACCAGCTGGAAAGATAGAGTTGTTCTGAACTGAGATGGACAATACTAGAAGCAGAGCAGCTGTGAGGGAAAATCGGAAGCTTGATATTAGGCAAGTTGAGTTTGGGATGATTGTTAGCCATGTGGAGATGTCACGTGGGTATTTATGTGTGTGAGTGTGGGGAGGTCTGGGCTTGGGCCATAACCTCGGAGGTTATTAGTGGCTGAGATCACCAGGTGACTGAATTAACATAAGAAGCAACTCAGGGACTGGGCCTGGGAAAGAGGCAGCAAAAGAAGTCACAAAAGAACATCCAATGAGGTGGGAGGACGCTAGCAGAGTTTCGTGTCCTGGAAGCCAAGGAAAGGATGTTGTAAAGAGAGGGGGCTATTGCTGAACCACATGCTGTTGATGGGTTAAAGTGGTGCAGGCAGGCCTGAGGGAGAGGTGTGGTGGTCGTGTCAGAGGCATGGAAGAATAGACCGCAAGGAAAGAGCATCAGGTGTGCAGTGCCTAGGCCTGCGCTCAGGTACCGCTTCTCACACTGAAGAGTATCATCACTTCACTGTGTATCTCCTTGATTGTCTCTAAAATGCGTATCATGAGTTACGCAGAGTTGTAATGCATCCAGATGTGGTAACGTGTAGAGGTTCGATGCCGATGAGAATGGTGATGATGGTCTCTCCCTTGGGAGAAGCTACAGTGGCATACCTGCGGTGTCTGCAGAAGGGTGCCCACCTTTATCTCAAGGAGGGTTTTTCCTCAGTGTGTGATGCAGAGAAGTTTGCTACTTATGATCCAGAATCTGGGGAGCACCAGCAAAGGGCACTGCCCGCCTTTATCTCTAGGAGGGTTTTTCCTCAGTGTGTGGTGCAGAGAAGTTTGCTACTTATGACCCAGAATCTGGGCAGCACCAGCAAGGGGCACTCGTTCAGAGTCCTGTCCTAGTCACTATGGGAAGTCACATGTATGCTCAGAGCACAGATGTTTGATTAAGATGGTCAGGTTGGGGTGGGATGGGATGCCAATGGGCAAAAAAAGAAATTTTAAGACAAAAAATGGTCATATTTAAGAAAATGCCTGGAAAAGGTGAATTTGGGGATAGAGATTTGGGAAGGAGAGGTAAGGTGGGAAGGAGGTTTTAGAAGGGCCGTTCAGAGGCAAGTAGTGGCTTGAGGAAGGTCATGGACACAGCAGAGAAATAGATGAGCCCGTATAATTTTAGGAGTTTGAGTTTCTCATGAGCTGGCCGTCTTGGCCACCAAGGTTAACATAGGTGCATGTTGTCTCTCTTTTCAGCTACTGTGAGGAGATCCCCGTAGAGGAGAATGAAGTAAACGACAGCTCGTCCAAAAGCAGCATAGAGACCAAGCCGGATGCCAGTCCACAGCTGCCCAAGAAATCCATCACCAACAGCACCCTGACGTCCACGGGGAGCAGTGAGGCCCCCGTCTCGGTACGGGCAGGGAGTCCTGCCTTGCTGCCACCCCAGCCTGGGGAGCAGGCAGAGGGGAGGCTGGTTATACCATGGTCAGCTTATGCAGAGGGGCTCCACATAAATGAGTGTAGAATCCAGAGCTGGGTTCTCAGTGCGGCGGGTACCAGATTTTGTTTGGCTTCTGAGCAGATGAGAATCATTCCAAGTCCACTGTATAGCTTTGCCCTTGGTGGCCTGCCATGATCAGCCCGCTGGTGGAGAACTATTCCAGGTCTTCTTTTCACTGCCTTGATCTAATGTCAAAGTCATGAGTTCAGCACTGCGCAACTGCTCTCTGCTCGTTCATTCCGTAAATCCTGATGGAGCCCCTGGTATGGACACTCAAGGTTACCTTCCTGCTTTGCTGACTTTGCAAAAGACAGCAATGTGGAAGAAGGAGTCTGTCCCTCTGGGACTTGGTAATGGAGCGAGTAGAAGCTGGATGAAGGAAGTGTCCGAGTCTGAGTTGACAGGTAGAAGAAAGGGTTCCCAGAAAAGGGAGCCTTGTGTTCTAGTGGTTTAGGAGTCAGACCACTTGGCCTTAGAATGAAAACATCCATTCGATGCCTAGTCTCCATTTTCTGTCTTTGAAGTTAACTTGTTTTTTTAAGTTATTGTGTCTGAGTTTTTTTGTTGTTTTTTTTTTGCACTGGTCTTTGTTGCAGCCTACAGGCTCTGTAGTTGTGGCGTGTGAGCTCTCTCGTTTCAGCATGTGGGCTTAGTTGCTCCAAGGAGGCATGTGGTAGCTTAGTATCCTGACCAGGGATTGAACCCACATTCTCTGCACTAGAAGGCAGATTCTTAACACTGGCCCACCAGGAAAGTCCCTGAGGTTAACTTTAAAATGTAAAGAAGTGTACCTGTTCCCTCCCAGGGCTAAAGGGAGAATGAATCAAATAGTGCTTAAGAAGCCTTTTGAACCTCTCAGGAAATAGGGCAGTAGTGGAGACAGGCTCACGTGGTGATAGGATGGTAGAGGCCTAGGCCCAGGAGAGGAGCTGGACTAAGGGATCTGCCTGTGCCCACATGTGGGGCTTGGGGTCAGGAGAAGGACAGGGCCTCTTGCTCGGTTCTGTCTCCCACAGCAGAACTGGGGAGAACCCTGTCCCCCACACCCCGGTTCCCGAGCATTCTGAACATGCAGGCCCCTGAGGCCAGCTCCTTGACTTCCCCCTGGCGAGGAAACCAGGCTGACTTCTCTGTCTCCACCCCAGTTTGACGGCCTGCCCCTGGAGGAGGAGGTGCTGGAGGGCGACGGGTCCCTGGAGAAGGAGCTCGCCATCGACAACATCATCGGGGAGAAGATTGAGATCATTGCGCCCGTGAACTCCCCTTCGCTGGACTTCAACGACAACGAGGACATCCCCACCGAGCTCAGTGACTCTTCGGACACCCACGACGAAGGTGGGTGTCCACAGTGGGGGCGGAGTGGCCCTCCCTCTCTCCAGACATTTTGAAGGCTTAACAGATGTTGCCATATTGGAGACAGGAGTCAGTCTGACTTTCCTGCGGAAGGGTGGGTGGGTAACAGCTCTTTTTTAAAAAAGATACTCTTGTTATTAGCAAATATCCCTTTTTGGGGGTACTCACTATAGAATCCTTGTCATTTCATGTTTGTCTGTCTTTGCTCAGCGAGTAGTGGTTTATCCTGACCCTTTAGTCTTGTCACTGCACATGGACACTGGCTTCCCTGCAGCTCTGCCCATCAGTGCTTTGCCACCAGCAAACTACCAGCCCTCTGCCCCTGGAAATTCGTCATTGTTGTTTATTCACTAAGTCGTGTCCGACCAACAAAGAGATGGAGAAGCAGCAGCCGTGACCTAAGAGCTTGTTTTCCCAGAGACTAAGAATAGAAAGCGTCCAAACAGGAAGAGCTGATCAACCATAGGAGCTGACTGTGGGATTTGGTGGCAGCCTTGAAAAAAAACACTCTCAATGGAGAAAGCTAGTCACTCAGTCATGACCGACTCTTTTGCGACCCCGTGGACTGTAGCCCCCCCAGGCTCCTCTGTCCGTGGGATTTCCCAGGCAAGAATACTGGGGTGGGTTGCCATTTCCTCCTCCAGGGGTTCTTCCAGACCCAGGGATCAAACCGGCACCTCCTGCATTGGCAGGCGGATTCTTTATTACCTGAACCACCAGGAAAGCCCCTGGAAAATAGTTAGGTTTTAATTGACACTTGCTTTGACTCCAGCATGAGGGTTTCGGACCTAGTCTGTTGCCGTCAGATAGACTGTGGAGATGGTGCTTCTCTGACATTTCTAAGTAGGTGGCTTCTTTCTTCCCTCCTGCAGAGGGTTTGCATCTCACCCTCACCCAGGAACACACTGCCTCTTACATTCCAGGGCGAGAGGCCAAATGCTCAGTGTTCATGAGTGTGGTTGACGAGCACTGTGAGTTGGTGGTGGGGTCTGACGTGAGGCTGCGCCAGCAATGCTCACTTATCCATCTGTGGACAGTCTCTCCTGTGAGTCACCTATAGTGGTATCTCACCTGTGGTTGGCTTGCCACTGCCATCTAGGGCTGCACGGGTGGCCGCTGTGTGATGACAGGGGTGCCACCCTTGTAAACTAAGAAGTGAGTGTCCCTCCCAACTGTGCTCCATAGTCCTCATCCTGCACAGTCGTGGGCATGGACCCTCCGGGATGCCCTGAACTTCTCAGGGTCACGGGATGCCAGAAATGTCAGCGTCCTGCTTGAGATCAGACTCCAGCCCTTTTGGGTCCCTCATTCAGGGCCTGTGCGGTGCTGAGGGCTCAGGAGGAGTGCTGAGGTTTGAGCAACTCTCCTGTGCTCTGAGGGGCTTCCTGCATGGCTCAGCGGTAAAGAATCCGCCTGCCTATGCAGGATACATGGGTTTGATCCCTAGGTCAGGAAGATCCCCTGGAAAAGGAAATGGCAACCCACTCCAATATTCTTGCCTGGGAAATCCCACGGACAGAGGAGCCTGGCGGGCTATAGTCTATATCTACATGGGATTGCAGAGTCGGACATGACTGAGCATGCACACACCTGTACTCTGAAACTTTCTTCCTGTAGAAAATTAAATTTATTGGAGTCATGGGGGTAGAGGCTGCTTTATGGAAGGAGAGCAGACCTCACACATCACAGATCTCCACCCTGTAGTCCAACGTAGAAGCTTTTATATAAACAGACTCATCAGCATCCCTGGACTCACCTGTGCCCTGGGCTGTGATGACTTTAGCTGTCATTTGTGGTTTAACTTACAGACAGTTGATAACTGATCCTCTGGGTTCCGACCAGCAGGCCCAGGGAGTAGTCATTTATTATATTTAAACTTTAGTCTAAAAGACCACTTTAATTTGGAAGGCTTGAAAGTGTAAGGGCAAATAGCGGATTCATGAGCTTTTTGTAAACGATGAGTGAATGGGATGCAGCTAGAGTCCCATTGCAGTAGTCCCATTGACATCCAGTGCGCATGCCGGCCAAGGAAGGAGGCTGATTGACACGAAGCCACAAACAGTGGAGCCAGGGCTCCCCCGCCCCATCCGAGGCCTCCTTTGAGCCTTGGTGGCTATTCCCATATTAGCCACAGAGACATAAGTGCCCTGGGGGTGTCCCTGGGGTGTCCCTCACCTTCCCTGCCTACCCTCCTCATACTCTCTGTGCAGGGGAGGTCCAGGCCTTCTACGAGGACTTGAGTGGCCGGCAGTACGTGAACGAAGTCTTCAACTTCAGCGTGGACAAGCTCTATGACCTCCTGTTCACCGACTCACCCTTCCAGCGGGACTTCATGGAGCAGCGACGCTTCTCAGGTCCGTCCGCCTCCCCAGGCTGGTGCCCCCACCCCTTCCCTCTCAGCGCTGCTTTCCTCTCCTCCCCTCCCATGTGCCCTCCTTTTCCCGGCCACCTGATGGCCCAGGGCGCCCCCTCCCTGGCTGCACGCGGTTCTGGAGCTCCCCGGGGCCCTGCCAGCTGCTCCTCCCCACGCCACTGTGGCTGTACTTGTCCTCTGCACCCCGACCTTCGGTGTCAGACCCCAAAGGCTTGGCGGCGAACAGGAACCCCCAGGGCTCACCACCTAGCCGAGAGAAGCAGCTACCATGTCCTGGTTGGCACATGCCATCCACCAGGCATGTGACCCTGTATTGTCTCATTCAGTCCTCCAGTCTGCCCTGGTGCTGGTGTTGTGGTTGCCATGATACCAGGGAGGGGCCTGGAACTCAGACCCCTGTTACCTGCCCAAGATCATGCAGCTGAGAAGGGGCCCAGCCAGGACTCAAACCTCGGGCTCTCAGAGTGGCTGCTTGGCACCGGATGCTCCTTGCTCCTGCCCTGCCGCAGGCCCGGGGACCAGTAAGGCTGCTCAGCGTCCGAGCCTGCGGAGGAGCCCTTGGGCACCAGCGCAGCCCTCTGCCAGGAGGAGGGCGTGCCGAGGGCAACGGGAGGTCGCGCCTCAGAGGAGAGGGCTTCTTCCCAAGGATCCCAGGCCCCCATCACAGTAGCTCCAGTGTTGCCAGCACCCCCGTAGGTGGCCCCCAGGACCTCCTGCCCTAGCCCAGAACAATCCGCATTCCGGAGCCTGTGTAGGTCCTCGGCCAGTCTACAATGAGCCTCTTTCTGCTTGGACGCCCCCTCCTCTCTGCCTCCTCCCCCGGCCCTTTGACTTCCTTTGGGGGCTGCCAGTCGGCAACCAGTGCAGCCGAGAGAAGGTCACTGGAGGGAGACACTCAGAGGTGGGAACAGCAGGCCTTTTTCCCTCCCTCATCCCCCGGCTCCCCTTTCCCCTCAGATATCATCTTCCATCCGTGGAAGAAGGAGGAGAATGGAAACCAGAGCCGAGTGATCCTTTACACCATCACCCTTACCAACCCTCTGGCTCCCAAAACTGCCACCGTCAGGGAGACACAGGTGAGTTGAGGTCGGGCAAGGATGGCCTCTGTCCTGCTGTAAAGGATTCGGGAGAGAGACGTCAGGGTGAATGTCTGGGCACGAGTGATGTTCAGCCTCGGACCTGGGTCCCCGTTCAGATCAGGAGCGGGCTGGGGGCGGTCGTCGGGAAGGAGGGGTCTGTCCCGTCTTGCTCCTCTTCAGCCCCGGCCCCCCGCCCTTTCTTCCCCGTAGACCATGTACAAGGCGAGCCAGGAGAGCGAGTGCTACGTGATCGACGCCGAGGTCCTCACGCACGACGTGCCGTATCACGACTACTTCTACACCATCAACCGCTACACTCTCACCCGCGTGGCCCGCAACAAGAGTCGCCTCAGGTGCTGTCTCTGCGGGCGGGCGGGTTCAGAGCAAGTCCCTGGTGCACCTGGGGGACCCTGCATCAGACAGCACTGATGTGCTCCTGAGGAGGAGGGAGGCAGGTTGTGTTGGCTGTGAGCTCATTCTTTATTCTGTCTTTTCTCTGAATACTTCAAGACCCGCCCACGCCCTTCCCCCAACCTGACAACTCATACTGCTCCACCACATGTTTCCTTCACCCCTCTGTGTATCTTTCTCTCTCTTTTGTTTTAAAATATTTATTTGGCTGCACCAGGCCTTAGTTGCATCATGCACCATCATTAGCTGTGGCAGGCAAGATCTTTTCTTAAATGCAGCATGTGGGATCTAGTTCCCTGACCAGGGATCAAACCTGGGCCCCTGTACTGAGAGGGAAGAGTCTTGGCCACTGGGCCACCAGGGAAGTCTCTGTGTCTCTCTCTAGTAAAAGTGTCAGAACCACTGCTATTTAGTGGTTGTCTGCAGTTTATAAGTATTGTGTAGTTACTTGACCTCCATGAACTGGATTCTTCAGAGTAACCCAAGGAGGTGAGTTTGTCCTCACTTTTCAGGTGAGAAAACTGAGGGTCATTACAAGATGAGTAACTTTTCGAAGAGTCAAAAGCACTGAAACCCAGGTCTTAGAGAAGCGAATCTCTGCCCTTCCTGTCCTGCTGAATGCTGGGCATATTTTGAGTTTCCAGGCATCTTCCTGATGGGCAGCTATCCAGGCCAGCAGGAGCCCACCCATCACTCTATTCTCAGCACCCACGATGGAGCCTGCACACAGCAGAGTTAGAAAGTGTTGATTGAATGATTAGTCCGATGCTGTTTATGGCTGTCTCACTGTGATGTGCATTTCGAGGATGGAAAATATTTAGACTCTGGCATTTCAAGAAGCTTGTAGTTGGATTGAAAAGCCAAGACACACACCCATCTGAGAGTAACTGGGTCGTGTACCTGTATCTTAGACCAAAATCTTTTAAGGAGCAGAAATTCACTCTTGTCATTCAAATAGAATAGGAGTTTGGTAAAAGGCTGCAGGGGGGTCTTTGGGGAGTCAGAAAGATTAAATGAATGCCCACACCTCAGAAAAGGGTCTGAATCTTTCTCGTCTTCTAATTAAAAAAAAAAAATCCTTTGTGGCTTCTGTGAGAGCAGCCCCTCCCGTCCCGCTCTTCTCTTTTCCCTCCCTCTCTTCTCCCTTCTCCCTCCCTTCTCTCCTTCCTTCCTTCTCCTTTTTTCCTCCCTCTCCCCCACCCTCTCCCTTCCTTCTCCTCCCTCTGGCCCCTCTCTCCCTCTGGCCCCTCTCTCCCTCTCCTGCAGGGTCTGTGTTCCTCACTTCCAGATTCCTTGGAGGGTCATCCACCTGGATGTCCTTTCTGCCCAGCTCCCTTAAAGGTAGCTGCTTGTCCAGCTAGACCCCCACAGAGCCCACGCTTAGTCCAGGAAGTGGTTGCTGGGAGTGGGGTGAGGGGCCACGGGCGTGCACACATCAGACTGGGGTGGGGTCCCTTCTTCTTCCTCGTGAGGGCAGAGCCGGCAGCCTTAGATGTGGGGAGTGTCGGCAGTAAGAGTGAACCTCAGGAGAGCAGAGCAGCGGCTGAGCAGGAGCAGGAGCTGATGCTGCAGGAGACCAGGCGGCAGGAGGCCCACGGGCAGAGCAGGAGCTGGCAGAGTGCTGGGGAGGTGGAAAGGCAGGAGGCAGGTGGCAGCCAATGAAACTCTTAAAGGTGGAAGCCATGAAGCCCAAGACTCTGCCTTGGGCTTGAAGTCTCTGGAGACAAGAGAGAAGGGCCCTGGGCCCTCCCAGGAGGAGGCCCCATGGCGTCACGGGCGAGCTCTGAGCTGAGAGTCAGGACCCTTCCTGTTAATCTTTGGTCCGCTTATAAATTCTCAGACTCAGTTTTCCCATCCCTAAAATAAGGATAATCCCACTAGCTTCACCTGCCTCCCGGGATGCCCAGGGAAATCACATGATGTCCTGGATGCAAACCTGTAAAGGGCAGTGTGAGGCTGCTTTGACCTTAAACCCGAAGTTTCCTGTTCCCAGCAGAGGAGGGTCCACCCAGGAAGGGGCTGATCTTAGTTCTGGCTTGCTCTTCAGGGTCTCCACGGAGCTGCGCTATCGGAAACAGCCCTGGGGGCTGGTGAAAACGTTCATTGAGAAGAACTTCTGGAGTGGGCTAGAGGACTACTTCCGCCACCTGGGTGAGCACCTGCTGATGCTGCTGGGTGAACCGTCCCTCTGTCCCCGTTCAGGGAGTGGGAGGCGGGGGTGGGTGGGGGGTGCTTCACGGGGCCCCTGAGTCTGCCCAGAAATGGGTCCATGTATGTGAACATGTGCATGTTCAAGAGACTCTGACTGCAGCCTTTATGAGATTGTAATCGTGACATGTGGGCTTCCCTGGTGGCGCAGTGGTAAGGAATCCGCCTGCCAATGCAGGAGACATGGGTTCGATCCCTTGGTCAGGAAGATCCCCTGGAGGAGAAAATGACAAGCCACTTTGGTATTCTTGCCTGGGAAATCCCATGGACAAAGGAACCTGAAGGGCTGTGGTCTACGGGGTCACAAAAGAGTCGCACACAACTTAGCGACTAAACCACAATTGAAAGGATCCATGATACCCCCCCAGAATGAGCCTGAGATCTAGAAACACTGGTGGTAATACTGTTATGAGAAGGAAATAGCCATCTAAGGCATCCACTGGGAAATGTGACGCACCCCGAGTTGCATATGTGAGGGTGTGTGTTGGAAGCCTTTGCCTACACACTGTTGAGTGACCCAGAAGAGGGCTTTGGGCTGCACTGGGTCCCAAGAGAACTTTCTAGGGCTCAGGGGCATCCCTGAGGGACCCCCGCCTTCCAGGCAACACCCCAGAGTCCGGTATGGGAACATGGTACTTTTGGAGGACATTCAGCTAGGAGTGGACAGAGCTGCTCCAGAGGTCAGTATGTTAGGTTGGAGGCAAGGGCACGTGGCCTCTTACGTGGTCTTTTGACCCCGACAGAGAGTGAGCTGACCAAGACAGAGAGCGCCTACCTGGCGGAGATGCACAGACAGTCTCCCAAAGAGAAGGCCAGCAAGCCCCCCACGGTGCGGAGGAGAAAACGGCCCCATGCCCACCTGCGGGTGCCGCATCTGGAGGAGGTGATGAGTCCCGTCACCACGCCCACTGATGAGGACGTGGGCCACAGGATCAAACACGTGGCCGGTGCGTGCCAGGTGGGGGCAGCGGTGGGCGTCTCGGGGCTGTGGGCAGAGCTCCCTGCCTGTACCAGGCACACGTACACACTCACCTTGCAGCCTGGGATGGACTGGGTATGCCTGGCTCACGACTCATGAAGTCTGAGGCTCTGGATACTGTACTGCAGTGGTCTTCAACCTTTTTGATACCAGGGACCGGTTTCATGGAAGACAATTTTTCCATGGACTGGGGTGGAGGGTGGGGTGGTTTCAGAATGATTCAAGCTCATTACATTTATTGTGCACTTTATTTCTACTGTTATTACATCAGCTCCATCTCAGATCATCAGGCATTAGATCTCAGAGGTTGGGGACCCCTGCTCTGCTATTTCCTTTTGCCCTTAAGCTCCCCAGCCCCTCCTGTACCCCCGTACATGCTCTGTTGAACAAAAGTGTCTTTGAGTTTTTGCTTCCATGTTCCCTGAGCTCCATGGCTCCCTGAATGAGCTTGAGCCTGAAGCTTCCAAGTTCTCAGGAAAGGCTCCGGGAGAAGCTGAAGCTCAGACCCCAGTGTTACCTCGTAACACAAAGACCTGGGGGTCCAAGGTGGCCCCCTCCTCCCAAGGTGTCTCCCTCCTCCCATGGTTACCTCGTAACACAAAGGTCTGGGGGTCCAAGGTGGCCTCCTTCTCCCAAGGTGTCTCCCTCCTCCCATGGAGCTGTTCACACCCTCCTGTCTTTGCTCAGTCATGGAAACCTGCAGCGGGGGTTTTTCAGACTATTCTCTGCTCCCCCCTCCCCGGATATTGGAGTGTTGATCAGAGCTGGTTGGGGCAGGAGAAGAGGCAGGGGAAGGAGGAGGGTGTCAGCCTTCCGTGTCCCTCGACCGGCTTCAGCTGGAACACTCCCATCTTATTTGTGTGTTTTACATACAGGACTTCTGACTAACTTCTCATTTGAATAAACTGACCCTCAGCATTCACGTGACTTTCTCAGCATCACGTGGCCGGTTAGGAATAAAGCCAGCGCTGAAAGCTGCCTCTGGCCCAGCCCAGTGCTGCTTGCCTTCCACGGCTGCAGGTCTCTTTGTCCTGCATCTGCAGGTCCCAGCTACAGGAGTCGGGTGGTTTTCTCAGCCGTTCAGTCACTTCCCTTCTAGTTTCAGAGGGCTGAGGGCTGTCCACGAAGCACATGGTTTCCGAGACAGCAGCATCATGGACAGCTTTGTGCAGGACCGGCCTCGTGTCTGCTGGTGGCGGGCTCGCGGGCCACGTGCTGACGGCCTCTTCCTTCTCCCCATAGGTTCCACGCAGACGCGGCACATCCCCGAGGACAGCCCCAACGGTTTCCACCTGCAGAGCGTGTCCAAGCTGCTGCTGGTTATCAGCTGTGTGTAAGGGACTCCAGCTCTCCCCCAGTCCTGCCCCCACCCCTTCCTTTCTCGCCTGCCGCCTCCTCCCCATCTGTCTTCCTCAGGCGTCCAAACACCCTCGCTGCTGCCCTGGTTTTTGCCTTCGCCTCTGGTCTCTCTCCAGATCGGTTGCTCTGTCTGTCACTTCTTGCCTCTTGCTGCTTTTCTCTGTATTATTCGGTGCTTACTGTGTGCTAGGCCTTCAGGACTCAGAAGAAAATGCTGCTTACAGCATCCATGACAGGAACTCAATTTCAAGTGGGTCAGACGGGCAGGAATTGATGCTTACTGCAGTGTTGGATAAATGCTAATATAGAGATGCTACAGACATTTTAGGAGCCCATTCTTTTGTTTGTGATAGGTGTTCTGAGTGTCTGCTCTGTGCTAGGCGTTGGGAGTGTACACTTACGGGCCCACCCTTTGACTGGGCGGCCAGACACAATCGATGCCCGGAGTCCAGGAGAAGTGCATGCTTATTTTATTGTAAGCAATGTATAATCATTGCCATAAGCTATAAAACTGTGGACTCCGTAACTTGCACAGGAAGTTTGTTGAGAGAAATGAGGCTGTAAGGTGGGAGGGCTTCCCTGGGGGCTCAGATGGTAAAGAATCTGCCTGCAGTGCAGGAGACCTGGGTTTGATCCCTGGGTAGGGAAGATCCCCTGCAGAAGGGAATGGCTACCCATTCCTGGGAGATCCCATGGACAGAGGAGCCTGGCAGTTACAGTCCATGGGGTCGCAAAGAGTCGGACATGACTGAGAAACTAACTCACAAAGTGGGGGGACACAGCGCTCTGAAGTGTCAGCCCAGAGCCTGCTCTGAGGACTTTCGTCCGCCTTGGGCAGGAGCAGCTCAGGCTGCTGCATGCCGACCGCTCCTCCGCGTGGTTGGGCCACTGCCTGGCAGCCTGGCCCTTCCTGCTGGGGGATGTGGGGGCACGGCGGAGGGAGCTGGGGACTCGGGAGCTGCCCAGATGCCGGCCTCTCAGGTGTGCGCCGGGCACTAGGCCGTCTGCAGCCCTGTCCTGCTTTGTGACGCCCACCCCACGCCCCAGCCTTCATGCCTTCACTGAGGCGTTTTCAGAAACACAGAAGCAGGCACACAGCTCTGCCCACCAGGAAACTCGGAAAGAAGCCCTGGACTGACATGGCTGGATTTGCACTTTCAAAAAAATCACCCTGGTGGCAGCATTGTGTATAGAATAGACAAGAACAGATGGGAGGCGGGGAGGCCAGTGGAGTAGATGGCAGTGATCTCAGCGGGAGGGGCTGGTCGGGCTGAGATGAGGGCCCGGGGGCTGAGAGGGCCCAGAGGTTAAGGCTTGTGCCACCTGGTTATGTAGCGAAGCATGAGGACTTTCGGGTCCACATGCCCGTGAGGGTTGTGTCGTGGACAGAAACCTGGAACTTAGTGAAAAGATGTTGCGGAAGGTGCTATCAGTCCCGTGTTTCTGAGGTTGTCCAAATGGACGTGACAGATAAATAGTTGTCAGTGTGGACCTGGAGCCTAGAGGGGGAGTTTAGGCTGCAGTTGCTGGTTCATTTGTCAGTAGCATCAAAGCCATGGTGTGCACGAGACCATCATGGCAGAGAGTATGGAGTGTGAGTGGGGAAATGGGCTGAGGACGGATCTAGGGACCAGGTAGCAAGGGGGGCCCTGTGAGTGTCAGGAGCGGGGCTCTCTTGTTTACCGTACCTAAATATGTAACATAAAAATAGATGCAAGTCTTCTGACTATGACTATGGCATAAGCAGCCCACATACTTTTACAAAAGTAAATACAAAGACAACTGTAAGACCAGTAAAAATCCACATTCAGCAGCAGCATTTTGATGTCGTTCCTACCACTATTAAAACTGAATCTCTGATGTTGGGTTTGCTTAACAGAAAACTCTAACCTTGGGTTAGCTATCTTGCAGCTCCTTCTGTGTTTTGTTATAAGTAGAGAAGATCAGGTGGCCTGAGTAAATTGTATAGTGTATTAAGTCACGTTGGAGCGCTGATAGTTTAGGATATTCACACCTCATCTTTCAACCCTAGAGCGTCCAGGCAGTGGGTCTGCTCCCAGCGTGCAAGTGGAAACTTCGAGAATAGTGCAGGGTGTCTGTCTAAGTGGCCCACGCCACCGTAAGCCTGCCCTATGGCCATCCAGCCCTCGCATCTTTTCTCTGTTTAGACCACCCTCAGGCCTTCACTTGAGCCACATCGAGGGGTGTCCCTTGGCCTCCGCTGAGCACAGACCAGACTGTAAGCACAATCCCAAATGCAGGTGCTAAAGTGGTTGTAGGACACCTTGAAGAGGTGGCTTTCAGAAGATCCAGATGTCTGGTGCAATTAAAGGTGGTATCACTGAGATGCAGTACATCACTTAGAAGTCCTTGTTGGAGAGCTCAGAGAGCCCCAAGAACACAGCTGAGTATCCCCAAGGATTTGTAGCCGCCCCTTTAAGGAAGTCAGCCTTCCAGAGTGCTGGAAGCCAGGGTGAGAAACACAGAAACACATGCCACCTGTACCACACATTTTGAAAGGTCAGAGACGTGGCATAGATTTTCTTTTTTGTTGGTCTTTTTTCCATCTATTTATCTTCCCATTTTTTTCATTCCTTTTCCTGTGTGTCTGGACCTCCTCCTTTAATGAAAGTAACCACACCCCTTGTGAGGGGTTTCACATACATCCCTTCCATGGGGGGCTTCACGTACACCCACTCTGTGCTCAGAGTCACCCCAGTAGAGTGGGTATTATTGGGAAGCTTGATGGGAAGTTAAGAGGCCTCAAAGCCGGGAGCTAGGCTTTGTGCCCAGTTCTGTGTGTCTACGTCCTATCTGTCCCAGAGTCTTCATCTCTCTATCCCGTGAAGCTTGAGGCCACTGAGGCCTAGAGGAGAGAATTCTCAGGCCCTCGGTGACTCTCCATTTTCCCACTGGGTCCGACCCCTGGTTATCCTCCTAGCTCCCTGTCTCCTCATAGTTCCAGCCTATCCCTGGGAAGCCTCAGCTGGTCCCCATGCCCCCGATGGGGCTCTGGCAGATGCACAGAGGAGCTGGGAGGTGTTGGGAGTCAGAGCTGGGAACCCCCCTGAAATTCCTCCCGGGGTTCGGGTTGGTAGGAGGAAACTTGTCTCAATTGATCTCCCTTGAGATACCAAGGGTCCACTTAGAGCTGCCCCCATCCCTTCCTCGCTCACTGTCCTCATCTGCTGTTTCCTCTGCTCCTGGTGTTTCTTTCTCACTGTCTCTCTGGCTCAAATTAAGCACAGCCTCCCCTTCCCCACACGCGTCTTATTTCTAACCTCTGCCTCCCCCCCTTTTCTTCCTTGCTCCCATTAGGATCTGTTTCAGGTACTGACTCTCTGATCGCTTCTTTCATCATCTCTTTTCCTCTTCATCCTCCTCTCTTCCCCCAGCACCCACTTCTGGGTGATTGTGTGTTCTCCTTCTGAGGCCTTCACCCCCACACCCCTCCACGTCCTCCTGCTGTGCCCCGGCCCCTCCAGGCGAGAGTGCGTGTCTCTCTCTGTCTGTCTCTGCCCCTTGCTGCATTCCTCCCTGCACCTCCCCCAGCTCACTTACTCACTCACTGCGATGCTTCAGGTGACCCAGTGGTCAAGGACGATGGCCTTTGGGGTGGGGTGCATCCCTGCCTCTCAGAGGGAGGGGGCCCTCCTGGACTCCATCTCATGGCTCTGTTTCCACCCCCCGCCCCCTCCCCCAATCTCCTCCAGTCTGGTGCTGCTGGTCATCCTCAACATGATGCTCTTCTACAAACTCTGGATGCTGGAGTACACCACCCAGACCCTCACCGCCTGGCAGGGTCTCCGGCTCCAAGAAAGGTAACCCCAGCCTCTTCCCTTGCTCCCCTCCGTGTCTCAGCTCCTGCCTCTCAGTCTCTGGGACGGCCCTGCTGCCCTCGCTGGGGGTTGGGTAACCCTTGGGAGTGAGTCCATGGCTGAGCTCTGGCAGTTGTCCCTGTCGTTTAGTCTGTTTCTGATTTGGGGCACAGGAGACCCTGTGCAGGACAGAGTGCTCTGATGTGGGGTCTGGGCTCACAGGACATAACTCCAGCTGGTGGGGTACCCCTTCTCCTACCCCACAGGTTACCCCAGTCCCAGACAGAGTGGGCCCAGCTCTTAGAGTCCCAGCAAAAGTACCACGATACGGAGCTCCAGAAATGGAGGGAGATCATCAAATCCTCGGTGATGCTTCTTGACCAGGTGAGACGCCCCTACCTGCCCTCCTTGCCCCGGTCTGCTAGACATGGACCATCTTCCCTGCGCTCTGAGAGGAGCACTGTCTCCATCCCCCAGACCTTCTCCTCCATCCGTTCTTCTCCAGGCCAGCCATGGTTCTTGTTTTAGAGCCATCCTTGAGTGCATGGTTGGAAACACTTGGGTTCCCCAAAGTTACATCAGTGAAATAACACAGTGGATTTGCAAGAGGAAAAAACTATAGGTTAGATGGAAGGAAAACTATTTTTTTTTCTTGCTAAGCCATAGCCATCTGACAGGCATTTAAAGAGATAGCTCCCTTTTTACAGAGATTTATCTTCCCAGAGGGCATGTCTTTCTAGTCCTTTGGATGTGTTCTATTCATCCTTCACCACCTACTGCCCTCAAAACAGACACAACACACAGCATTCAGGACATGGCTTTTCCTCTGAGGTTGTTCTGAGAGCCTCCTGCTGTCTGAAAATTAGATGCATCTATTTAAGAAAGTCCTCCTAGGGTGAAATCAATAACTTCATTTTATCAGACAGAGGTGGAATCCTACCCTTGCCACTAACTAGTTTTTTTACCTTAAGCAAAGGATTTAGTAACAGTGACCTTCCATTTCTTCATCTATAAAATGGAAATTGTAATCATTGCTTCATGAAATTGCTGTCACATTTGCTCTGATGCCACATAGGCACTCATTAATATTAAATTTTCTGTCTCCTTCGTGGTTTGGTCTCTTAGTTCTCAGTTAAGGAGAGAGAATTTTAATTCAACTACCAGGATCCAGTTTAATGGGTTTAGCTTGTGCTCAGTTGTGTCTGACTCTTTGCGTCCCCATGGACTGTAGCCCACCAGGCTTCTCTGTCCATGGAATTTTCCAGGCAAGAATGCTGGAGTGGGTTGCCACTTCATTCTCCAGAGGATCTTCCCGATCTGGAGACTGAACCCGAGTCTTCTGCATCTCCTGCATTGGCAGGCAGATTCTTTACCACTGTGTCACCTGGGAAACCCCAGTGGGTTTTAAATGTCACGTGTCAGAGCACTGGAGCCATGTTTAAGGAGGGCATTTTTTAATCAAAAGAGGGTAGACAGCATAGCAAGGAGTCTGGAACTCTGGCGCATCAGGAAGATTGATAGAATTAAAGGTGCTCAGGAGCAGGGAAGACTGGGTGGGTGAGCAGAAGAGAACAGTCTTCAGAAGTTGGGGTCAAACAGCTAGAAGGGTTAGACTGCTTGTGAGCCTCCAGGGGACTAAACTAGGGCCAGAAGTTACAGGGTATCGAATTTTTGAGTCATCAATTAGAAGCAGACTCCTTATGGTTAGAGTCCGGAAATGGAATGGGCTGCTTCGAAGGACTGCGGTTCCGTCTCTGAAAGTTGCTTCCAGGGTGATGAGGTGATGCATGGGGTGAGGGACTTAGGAATTAAAGGGGTGGGGGCAGTCACTGGATTACCTGATCCTCTTCTAGCCGTGGAATCCTGTTCAGGGCAGGTCTCCTTCAGGAGGAGCTTGGGGCCGTCAGATCTATAGCCTGGTAGACTCGACTCTGTGGGCTTCCCTGGTGGCGCTAGTGGTAAAGAACCCGCCTTCCAGTGCAGGAGACATAAGAGATGCAGGTTCAGTCCCTGGGTCAGGAAGATCCCCTGGAGGAGGAAATGGCAACCCACTCCACTATTCTTGCCTGGAGAATCCCATGGACAGAGGAGGTTGGAGGGCTGCCATCCATGGGGTTGCAGAGTGGGACATGACTGAGCGACTTAGTATGTGTGCAGACTCGACTCTACAACCATTAAGGTTGATGTTTTGGAACTTCCCTGGAGGTTCAGTGGTTAAGGCTTCACCTTCAAATGCAGAGGCTATGGGTTTCATTCCTGGTCAAGGAACTAAGATCCCATGTGCCTTGCGGGCAAAAATCCAAAACATAGAACAGAAGCAATATTGTAACAAACTCAATAAAGACTTTAAAAACGGTCCACATCAAAAAATCTTTTAAAAAAAAATCAATGTCTTGTTCTGTTCCCCTCTTTTTTTTTTTCCTTTTTTTTAGTCACTCTTTGTGGCTTGCAGGATCTTAGTTCCCCAGCCAGGGACTGAACTCAGGTCCTGGTAGTGATAGCACCAAATCCTAACCACTGGACTGCCAGGGAATTCCCAACATTCCATTCCCTTTAAAAGAACATTAAGGAGCCCCTCATCCCTACTGAGCAGAGGATACAGGAGAACTAAAGAGAAGAAAGTGGTGGATTAAGCAGAGAAATCAGAGGTTCTCAAAATCCTTAACTATTTACCCATGAAATGTTCTCTGTCCTGGGCTGTAACAAAGTAACTTCTCCAGAGCCAGGGCTGAAACATGTTGTATTGTGGTGGACCTCATTTTAGGGTCCTCTAGCTGGAAGTGCCCCATGTAGACTTCATCCCATGATGTGGGATGCGTGTGTTTCTTACAGGAGGTTAAGAAATTCAGTTGGGATTTATGGGTACAGCTAGGAGCCTCCTCAGCTCCCTGCTTAGCACCCGTGGTGAATAAAAGAAGGATAGGACAGTATAGTCTCAACACGCCTGAAACAAAGGCATTAAAGATGACTACAGTACAGAACCCTAGGGAGTGGTACATGAAAGGCCAGGAGAGAGAGATGGCTGTGAGCCAGAGAGAGTTTGGGTTTGTTCTGGGCCTTCACGGTAGTTGGGTGAGGGACCTCGCTCGTGGCCCAATCGTTAAGACTCTTCCTTTCAGCGCAGGTGGTACAGGGTTTGATCTCCGGTCGGAGAGGTAAGATCCCGCATGCCTCATGGCACAGAAACCAAGAAAAAAAAAAAAGCAGTGTATTTTTTTAAATATTTACTTTTATTTGTTTAATTATTTGGCCGTGCTGGGTCTTAGTTGGGGCATGCGGGATCTAGTTCCCTGACCAGGGATTGAACCCAGGCTCCCTGCATGGGGAGTGCAGAGTCTTAGCTACTGGACAACCTGGGAAGTCCCCAGAAGCAATATTGTAACAAATTCAGTAAAGACTTTAAAAGTGGTCCATATCCAAAAAAAAAAAAAAAAACTTTTATTAAAAAAATAGTAGATGCATAAGATTGGTGGGCAAGAAAGAAGTATCTGAACTGGGGTGGACAGTGTGGCAACTGTTCAGGGATCAGCAGGAAGCCAAGCTGAGTGAGGAGAAGACCGAGCCAGTGGCCTTGTATGCAGGTCCCATTAGCAATGGAAACTTTGAGAGAATTCTTAATTCAGAGCAACGAGGACCATGGTGGGGTGGGGGGTCTCAATGACACAGCGACCCTTACCCTGGGGGTGCCCAGTGCTATTAATAGATCAGCTGTCCCCCTTTGCCCTGAGACTGTGTCCCTGGAGAACCTCCCTGTTTTAGGAGCCTACCCCCTTCAGCTCCCTGGCGTGGGGACCTCCCATGCTCAGGCGCAGTGGGTGCTGCTGGCTGGAGAAGCCCAGTTGAGGGCACAAACCCAGGCTGGGGTGCACTTCCTTATCTTACAGATGAAGGACTCACTCATCAATCTTCAGAATGGCATCAGGTCCCGAGACTACATGTCAGAAAGCGAGAAGAGGAACCGGTACCACTGACAAGGCAGGAGCTGGGGTGGCTGCAGGAGGCCTGTGCAATACGTGTACAGAGACCATATAAATATATATATAAATATATATATATATACAGATATAAATATATATATTATATACAGATTTTAAAAAGAGCTAATGCCTATGTACCAGGGAGAAGGAGCAGGGCCACCCCCTGCGCTGGCCGGCGGAGCGCCGAGGAGGGCAGGGACCGCCTCTCAGCACCGACCTCCCCCGACCCTCCTGCTCCCCATCCTGTCGTCCCCACCCTTTCCCTTGCTGACCAGTCTCGGCTCTGAGAAGGGAGATGTCGAGCCAAAGTTGTGCCTGTGAAGACCCTGGGGTCGCGAGAAGAGGTCTCAAGGGGGGCATTGCTTAAGGTGCTTCGTTCCTGAATCCCCTTTTGGTTTGTTTCCAAAATAGAAGAGAATCTTTTCTTCCCTACCCCGCGCTTCCCCCAAGGTGTTCTCTTGGGCATGAGGAAGCGTCCAGGGCAGGAGCCCCATCTAAGCTCCACCATACAAGGCTGCCCCATGTGCGTGGACTGCACACCACGAGTCTGGTGGAGGGGTCCCACAGGCTGGCTGGGCAGGCGTCTCTGAAGGGTTTGGGCTTTGTGGCTGCAGGCTCCTAAGGGCTGGTGTTCTGACGAAGGGCATCCTCTTCCATTACCCCTGCCCCTTCCTCTAACCTGCGTGGGGTGTGGACCCAATAAGGGTGGGGGTTTCTTCCTTTCCCACCCCACCCCCTTCTCTCTGGTCTTTTCCCAGGCTGGATCTGGGTGAAGTGTCACTTTTTAGTGCCTAAAGCCCTATTTTTCCTCTGTGCCCTAAGAGCACATTGTTTATTAGTCAGGGTGGAGCGTTTTTGATCTTGTTAAACTTCTCTTTTAGTGATTGTAAGCAAGTCAGGTCTGTGGCTCTAACCCCTTCCCTTTGAGCTGTCATTTGATTTCTAGGGTGAATCAGGGTGTTCTAGGACCTCCAGGGTTTGAGAGGGTGAATGTATTAGCCACAGACGGATTGGAAGGTCTAACCACAGAGCTCCTCTGAGTAGTGAGCACCAACATCCACACACTTTCTGGCTGCCAGCATCATTTCCTCTCAGTGAGGAACCAACTTAGTCAAGGGAGTCTACTACCTGAGATACTTTGCCTCTGAAAGAAGACCTAAGCCTTGGAGGGAATGAATTTGGCCTTGGTACATGGGTTTGGGCAGGAAAAAGCCAATTGAGTCTGCCCCACTGTGGGCCCTTCCAGACCCTGTTTCTCAGAGCTAGGAGTGGAAGTTCTAGCAGGAGGAGCAAAACCTTCGCTGGCCTCTGGCCCCAGAGAGGTATGAGATTCCTAAGGAGCAGGAGGAAGGCCGTGGGTTAGGAAAGTGAGTCGTCCGGGGCCTGTAGGGGCTGGCTTACAGAGCCCGTGATTCATCTGACCTCATGGGGCCCTGCTGCAGATGCTTAGCATCCTTCACACTGACCGCTGTTTCTTCCTGTGATGACCCAAGGAATCCTGCCAGCCCCGGGCAGAGCTTGTAGAGATTCTTGATCAGGAAAGGATTATACCAATTTGGCAAGGAGAGCTCTTCCAGATTTCTTGTTCTAGCGGACCTCTTTAATGGAACAGGCAGAGGGAAGGGAGAGTTGATCACTCACCTAGCCAAAAAGAAGAGCTATGTTATATTCTCTTGGACTGGCCTGAGCATCCCACTTTGGCAATTAAAAAGAATTTTTAACTTTTCATTCTGTCTGAAAAAGAGGTTCTTGTTATTGCCCTAAGGGTAGGAAGAGAAGACCAAAAGATGCTGCAACCAGATAGGGTGAGAAGGTTCCATGAGGGTCATCTGGAATTGATAGCCCTCGTTTAGAAAAGGAGATATGAGGAAATGGAGTTGCATGGAATCCTTGTGAAGGGTGCATGTGCCCACAGGCCAGCAGGTCAAGATCAGCCCTGACCAGGACCTTGAATGGGAGACCCTGATGAGCATTAAGGCTTATGGGACCCAAGCCAAAGGAGAAGGAAGAGTGCAGGTTACTAGGAACTTTCTTGTTGGAGTAGCTAGAAGTCAAAAGTATTCTCAGAAACTTTTGAAAGGACAAATGGTAAATTCTCTAATTTATTCCATGCATATTTATTTATTTAAATTATTCAGTTATTAAAAGTAGTGTGTTGGGACCTTCAGGGTGACTTTAAAAGGGCTATTTGCTGGCAATAAAGTGGTGGAAGTAGGCCTGACTCTGCAGGATTGTTTTACTTTGGCTTCATCTCACAGGCCCCTCTCGGGCAGAAGCAGTGACAGGGAACTGTGCAAGGAACCCTCTAGATTTCTGGGGATTTGCACAGGAGACAGTGTGTACCCATGGGAAGCATCTCTTGACTTGCCTCATTTCTAAGAATCTTGGATCACTTATGGGCATTTTCTCAAACCAGGAGAAAACCAACACCTCTGTTCACTCCCAGACAAAAGCTGTTCGCTTTTACTCAGTAACCTGTCAAAGAGAAGGGACCTCACCCTTGCAGATCAGTTTGGGAGTAAAACACATAAATGACATGGTAACTCATGGCTGGCAGCCTGCCTTGTAAGGGAGCATTAAAACTGCCATTTCTTATGTTATTTCTCCCCGCCAGGGCTTTTTTTTCTTTCTTCTACATAAGAACTCAGTCTTAGAGGAGTTTTTCTGCATCATGTGGTGAGACATTTGAGAGTTTGCACTTTCTGCAAAAGGTTTTGCAGTTTCTAGGCAGGTGAGAATAGTAAGGTTTGCAGTCCACTCCCACAGACTGGGGGGGAATTGACAAGACTGGTGTTGGCGAGGCCAGCCATGTCTGTGACTCTCTCCTGCCCCGTCCCCATCTTAGGGCAAAGGGGTAACGTTGCAGGATAGTAAGATTAGCAGTTTGGAGCTCTCGGTAACAGCACTGGTCTGAGAGGGTCGGGAGACCTGGCCTGAGTCCTGGTCCTGCCATTGGACAAGTCACACACACACACACTCACACCCACCCTCTGCGCTTCAGGGCTTGATCTAGACTGTCCTAAGGTCAGCTCTAGCTTTCACCTGGTCTTGGAGGTGGCTGGGTCAGAGCCTGGCCAGTCTGGGCTTTCTCAAACTTGGACGGCCCCCTGCCAAGAGAGGATGGGCCTTCTGGACAAGAGCTTCTCTGGTATTTAGATGAGTCATAGGGTAGTGTCTGAGTTCCCGGGAAATCCAGGGTAGTAAAACTTTATTCTAAGGGCTAAGAGGACTAGGGAGGTCCAATGAATGGGTGGGAGAGGGAGAGGAGAAAGAGAGATCAAGCTTGCTGTGTTGTTCAGTGTTAACCTGGGAGGGTGTTTCTTCCTCTGTCGGCCTAGTCTTAGTTTTGGAGGGTTGCTTCCTTTGAACTTTTCTAAGCTGGGAAGAGGAGGAGGGTGGCAAGAAGGACACCATCTTGGACTAACCTTGTCTTCCATCCCTGAAGCCTTTCATCTGTCCGTCCTTCCTTCTCTTTGCTAGAGCAAAAGGTGGGGAGAAGTTGTTCCTGATTTGACCACCTCTCTTTTGTCTCCAACCTCATTGGGGTTTGGATTAGGTATGGAGCTTTGGCTAAAGTAAGGAGTTGCCTTAGAACACGGACACTAAGAACCTAGGATTACCAGGAAGGCGGAGGACCAAGAAACCTAGAGCAATGCTTTGAGAGAAGTGGATTCTCTTCATTGCCGTGTCCATGACACAAGCTTGACCGTGTCCATAAGTTTGCAGGCATCATCTCTAGGGTGAAATCTTAGAGGCCGGATTAGGGGAAGGATCTTTCTGGACTGTGTGGTCTCAGTAGGATCTTTCCTGTGCCCTCTATGCTTCATCTTTAGCTCTGCAGAGCGGCCAAGGCCAGCCCATCCTCCCAGGGACCCCAGGAGAACTAGCGCTCTCCTCTCTCCCCTCAGGTGGCAGGGCGTCCCCTGACTGCACCTGCCCACTCCACTAGGAAGCTTGAGAACCTCTCTTCCTGACCCTCTCCTCCTCCAACCTTCGTCTCTAGGCAGTGGGACAATCACCCCATCCACCACTTGCATCCTCTGCCCTCATCCCCCAACTTCCAGCAGGGCTGGCCGCACTCCCCTCCACCTCTAGTTTTCTTCCAGAAGATGCGATTTTGGGTCCGGGAGGAGCATTTTTCTGGAAGGCCATCTTTTCACGCCCCTGCTTTCCTGACGTGGAGCAGGAACTTGCACACGGTGTAGAGAGCTCCCCCTGCACCTCTCTGCCCACCTCGTTACCTCACTCCTGCTCCAGCCATGGCTGTGACGGGCCCAGCCAGCTCCCAGTTCCGATGTTCTGTGCGAAGCTCAGGGGTCTTGGGCATTGTTTTCTGTTGTGACTTGAGGCCCTCAGCAGGCCTGGGAGCCCGGATTGGAGCCTTGGCTGCTGGCGAGAAGCACCTTGCCTGCCAGGAGGAGTTTGATGCCGGACGACGTACCCGACATGTGAAGGCGTAAAGGACGTTTTCACCTCTGCCCCTCGGCCCTGCCTGCTTCTCTCAACACGAGGAGATGCTGCAGAAGCAGAACGGGGGCCTCTGCTCCAGGCGGGAACAGCTGACTCCGTCTGCGGAGCAGGCCCTAGGCTGGGGTGCCATGCGCCGAGATTGCTGAATAAAAGCAGCCATCGTTGCCAACAACAGTGTGTGGCTCCCACATTGCTCTGTCCTGCACTCTAGGGCCAGACCACTCTCTGCATGGACCATATCATCTTCCCAAACCCATGGTGCTTTCCCCCGACTCAACCTGGACTCCAAGGTGGGGAGGGATGGGTCAGAGGCCACTGCGGCCCCTGGATAATCCTGACCTGGGGTGGAGTGGGGTGAGGCAGAGGGAGCAGCCAGTCCCCAACACCTGCACTGGGCCATACAAGGGAAGGAATGCAGGTTGATTGCAGTCGAGTTGTCTGGCCATCTGCATTTGGATCTGTAACTGTACTTTGCCTGGCGCTGTGCGCAAGGTCTGAAAACTTACTGCTAGTACCTAGAAACATTCAAGGCTTCCCGGTCCAATCTTAATGTAAAGTAGCTAGAGCCATGGAAGTACAGTATGAATTAAAAAAAAAAATGCTGAACTACAAATCATAAATGGTGTGTGTGTTCATTGCTTGATTCATCAGTGCTCGTTGTCCCAGATGTTTTTGGTCTTCCCAGGTCTCACCGCAAGCCTGGAAGGCATCTGTTTGCAGACAAGCTCAGACAGGGGCTCCCAGCCTCTGGGATCTAATGCTTGATGATCTGAGGTGGAGCTAATGTAATAATAATAGATATAAAGTGCACACTAAATGTAATGCACTTGAGTCATCCTGAAACCATCCCCACCCGGTCCATGGAAGAATTGTCTTCAATGAAACGGATCCCTGGTGCCAAAAAGGTTGGGGACCACTTCACTCAGACACAGGTGCACTGCCAGCCACTCAACATCTAAGACCTCCTTCCAAGGGGAGGGTGGCAGCCTCATGAAGTGGAATGGAGAAGAAGTCTGGGAATGAGATCTGAGTCCAGATTGAAGCATCACTATTTATCAGGCTTGTTCTTGGGCCCCAACCATTGCTCCAAGTCTAAGTTTATTCTAGAGATAATATAAAATACATTGGTGTATATGTATGTGTGTTTCTTAGTATAGTGGCTAGTACTTTACTAAGATAATTTGATATTGATTTCATTATCAATCAGTACTATTGTTATTACAGAAGCATATGATAGACTGTGAATACCAATGACAATTTCTTGTGTAACTTCTCCCTTTGGGGGCCTTGGCTCTTCTAGGAAGATGGACATTGGTGGACAGCTTTACTTTATTTCTTTATGTTAGATAACCTGGCAAGGGGGGGAGTCCTTTTACTAGGTCTTCCTTTCTGGGAACCCCTCCACCACCTGGCAGGAAACGTGCGTGATGTCATTCAGGTGAAAACACAGAGACTCTTGAATTCCTGTGTATTTGGGTAGATAAGGAAGGAAGGGAGATGGGGAGATGATGCGTTTAACTCTAGACTATTAGATGTATTTTTCATTCTCTGGGCTTGTATCCAGTGATTTTGAGTTCAAGAATTGATGCAGGCTGGGAAAGCAGGTAGAAGCCAGAATGTGTGTAGCAGACACAGTGAAGCAAAACCAAAGCAAGCCGTGTTTAGAGACACTTTATTGACATGAACAAGGAGTTTACTGAAAAACACCACCAACAGGCATTAGGTTGTTGAAATCTTGAGTGGTCAGGAACAACAGTTCGGGGAAAGATTGGCTGTGGAAAATCAAGAAAAAGCCACGCAAAGCTGATAACGTAACAAGTTCCATCAGGTCCACAGCTGCACGAGTTTGCTGATGGTGTGTGAGGCTGCTTAACAAACCTACAAGCACTCGTCCTTCAGCGCCTCCCTCCCTGTCACACACACTGCCGGTCAGCCGCATCTCTTGCCAAACGGGGAAGAAAAGAATAGTACCAGCTTTGAGGCTTAGCTGGGCTATGATAGGGGTTAAGTCTGATCTACAACTCAGACTTGCTTCAAGTGCTCATCTACTGGGTCCTACCGCAGACTCAAGGAGAGGGAGCGGGAGCTAGACATGAATCATCTACCACGGTGGAGTTTTGGAGATTAGGAAAGGCCTGAGTGATGATTAAAAAAAAAACAGCACAGGGCACACTCAGGGTCTCTCTTGGTACTCGACGCAGAGTGGGTGCTGAAATGCAGAATGAATGGATGATGGGCGTAATGATGCCCCAGGTACTATACTATGTGGATACATTTGCAGTGACTAGGAAGATTCACAGGGTGAGGGGTTTTTCATTTACAAAAGGAGGGGAGAAGACGGTGCTTTTTTATTTTTCCATTTCCGCTTAACTTGGGAAGGGGTGTGTTAGGCGCTCAGTCATGTCTGACTCTGCAACCCCATGGTCTGTCCATGGAATTCTCTAGGCAAGAATACTGGAGTTGGTTGCCATTATGTTCTCCAGGGGATCTTCCTGACCCAGTGATTGAACCGTGGTCTCCTGCATTGTACACAGATTCTTCACCATCTGAGCTACCAGGGAAGCCCAAGGTCCCCAAGGGAAGGGGAACCAAGATACACTCTGAAACATATCTAGCTCCTTGCTTCTTCCTGCCAAGATATAGTTATATGGTCTTTCCTCTCTGATTTTTGTCACATTCTGAGATGGGTATATTTTCCTTTTTGATGTAGTAATTTGGGGGGAAGAAAAGGAGCTATCTCTTCTCTTAACCATTCTTAGCTCGATAACATATTTCCAGCCTATTCCTGCTTTGAAAAATTCCTACTAACATTTCTAGTTTGGCCTCTTAAGGAGAAACCAGAAACTCAGAGAATCAGAAATCTGGGTGTGTGTGTGCTTGGAGGGGTGGTGACACTGAAGAATAATGCTTTTAAATGGACTGAAAATAAAGGCTGATATGGGAACAGACCGTCAAGCTTATTTTCACGCAGGAGTTGGGGCTGTGAGGCAAGGCTGAGCTGTTGGTAAAAGTCAGTAGGGTGAGGTGCTTATAGGGCCAACCAAGTGGAGCAGTGAAGTTCACTGGCTGTTAGGGAAAGGGAAAACCGGACCAAGCCTAATTGGCCATGAGTGAACGGTATTAAGGATCAGTCATGGGAAATATCCAGCACCAACACAACAGATGGGGTTCCTAGAGTGATGATAGCCCTTGAGAACATTTCTAAGCCCTTTAATAAGAAAAGCATGCCAGGTAAAACTTTCAGAGCAGTGCACATTTATCTGAGTCCTTTGTAGGGATATGTGGTGAAACGGGAAGTGGGTGAGGATTTGAAATAGGCTGGTGATCAGAGTGTCTTGTGGATATACAGTCATGATCAAGTCTCCCAGGAAGGAGTTAAATTGCAACTCAGAAGAAATAATGGGGTACAAACCAACGAAAAGGGGAAAAGCAAAATGAGATAGGCTGTGAAAACACGTTTCTAGCATGGCTCAAGAAACCAAGTGGTAAAGGAGCGCTTGAGTGGACCTAGGGATGAGAGAGGTTTAATATCTCAGGATGTGCAGGAGAGGCAAAGATTAGGTGGAAGTAAAGAGATGAGAGGAAAGGAAGCAGCTGTGGTCTCCATGGAAAGAGAGTGGGGCAGGGAGCTCAGAAGACCTGGATTCTAGTTCTCCAGGTTCATTCTCCAGGTTCTAGTTCATTACCACCTGTATGAACTTATGATTTGGTAAAGCTTGTCAGCCTCAGGCAGCCCATTCCTTCATTTGTTAATGTACTTGCAGTATCCACCTCACAGAGCTAGTTTGGAGGAGAAATAAGATAACAAATTAAAATGCTTGGTAAATCATATAACCTAATAAAATATTAAAGATGAGAAGAGTTGAGAAATTAAGAGATTACTTGGAAGGATAAATAAGAAAAAAAGAGGTACCATTCAACTTCATTAAAATTCACTCAGGGAATACCTGAATTGGGCTTTTGAAAAGGAAAAAAGGCAAATGTGCACTCTAAATCACAGTTTAGATGCATGGTCGAAAGGAGCTTCTATGCACCAGCCACATGACTAGGAAAACCTCACAGTAATCCAGGCCTATTTTCCTCACTATAAAGTAAGGAAAATCTATATTCTGTCCCCTCACTATAAAGTAAGGAAAATCTATATTCTGTCCCCTATCAGAGGGATTGTGTGGGAAATTACCAATGAGAAGGGCCTTGAATTTATGGAACATGTTTTCTTCAATCAAATACAACACTCAAATATGTGAACAAGGACTTATTTCAGGTACTCTTCCCTGGGATGGGAGAGATGAACTGAGTTTCTCAGGTGAGACCCAAGGCCAAGGGAGCAGGATCTTCCCCCCAAGAAGTTCCCCCTGATCTGGGGGATATCTTGTTCATCAGATCCCAGTCATTTCATTTTCTAACCCCCACTGCCGTCAAGCATCCTTCCCCCTCCCATCACAGAGTGCCGAAGGACATCACACATAACCAGTCATTCAAAGTGGAATATGAGATATTGACTAAGATTTCTGCAGTGTTCATCTGTTCTCCTAACACCTAGGGAAAAAAAAACCCTGGACATTATGAATTCCCAGGTTAGCCCCCCTCCTATCACTTCACTCACTCACTTGCCATCATCCATCTCAGACTAAAAACACACTTCTTAGTTCAATACCATTCCCAGATCCACTGTCCTTCAGGAAGATGTCTCAGATTCACAAATCTTTTCACTAAAGGAATTCTTCAAAGTCTTCCTCACGTCCTTCTCTGCCTTTCCGGCCAGTTTCTAGTTACCTGAATCAGAATTCACCTCGGCCAGGTAACCCACCCAGTTCTGTGCTTATGAAAGAAACAAGGCCATGGCCACATTCAATTTCGAAGTCTTTTCATAAAATTATCCCATCTCGGGAAGTGTGAAGTGGGCAGTGCCTTGGGCTTACATCTGCTTCAGTTTATCCATCAAGGTCCCTTAGAGTTGAGTCTTGTCTTGAGTCTCGGGTGCCTCCTATAAAATGCGTGATAATACTGATGCACAGAAATTTTGAGAGGAACTTTGAGATTTCACTCCCAGTGCCCACTACCACCCAGCTGTCTCAGTTGGTGTGCTCACCTGGGAAGACACACGCACGTTATCCCCCAGGAGGGTCATGAACACATTGTATGACTTCCCAAGTCTCCTTCAAGAAATCCCACTTCATGACACTCTTGCTTTAACCCAAATCCATCACTCCCGCTTCCTTCCATGAAGACATCTATTCACGTGCAGCAATGGGAGAGTGAGCCGGCTCTAGCCAGAGGGAGCCGATGCACATGTCCACCTCCAGCACATGTTCTAAGCTGAATGAAGCACAGGAGAGGGATCCGGTTGGCATGGGAGCCGCTTGCTTGAAAATGAGGGCAGGCTGAGATTGAGTCATGTAGAAATGTTGGCTTCTCAGTTCTGGCAAAGTCTTGAGGTGTGTAGAGGTCTGATGGAGTTAGCAAGGCAGAGGTGAACGTTCAGAGGTGAGAGGATGTATGAAGAATGAACTGAAAGGATGGATGCACGAAGGGAAGCGATGTGGTCCCTGGGGCACCCTCCTGATGCAGTTGACATCACTGGACCTGGGACAGCCAGCCCTTCGGTGTTCAGGCCACCTACCAGTGATAAAACAGCTCACTGAGAGTTGCCAGCCTAGTCTATCCCAGCCAAAGACTTTGACCTTATCCACGATCCTTACATAGGAGGGAGAAGGGGAATTACTTTCTGTCACTGTGTGTAAGGAATTCAAGTTGCCCCCAACACTCAGGCCAAAGCAATTCACCTTTTGAAGGACGTGAACCTCGCACAGAGCTTTATGACTTGGTCATCAACTTTAAGATGGACCCTGAGGATGGGGACTCTATGTAGAGTAGAAATCTAAGGGACCGAATCTCAAGTCACCTTGGTTTGTGTGCAACAAGGTCACTTGTGCACCTGCCTCCTCATCTACCCCTTCTTCCCCTATACATCACCTGAAGTTGACCCCTTCTATTCCTCCACCGGGACTGCAGAGTTCTCTTTGTTCTCCGAGGGGATGGCCAGGTAGTCAGACCTATTGGGGGACAGACAGGGAAGAAAATCAGTGCATTTTGTATTCAGAGGTGGAAACACAGGAAAAGGGAAGGAGCAAGGGCCTAGGAACAAGGATGCCTCTAGAATAGGAGGTCTCTGCATCTCCTTCTGGCTGTGTTACCCAAGAGAAAAGAAAAATGGCCCTTTCAGCAGAGTAGAATCAAGAGTTTTGTTTTTTTTTCCTTCCACAAGCAATGCATGAGTCTTCTCATTTACCCACATTGTTCTCAAGACTTAGTACTGTTAGATTAAACCAGCCAAACTGATGGATGGGAAACTGTATTTTATAGATGTTTTCATTTTCCTGACTCTTGGTGATGCTGAGCATCTTTTTCATACGTTGGTAAGCAATGTGGGTGTGTACTTCCATGATATGACTGTTCATTTGCTTTACCAGGTTTTCTTCTGAGATATTTATCTTTTTTTCTTGATGGTTTCATGTCCTGAATATATCTTCTCCCAGTCTGTTGATTGTCTTTACTTACAGTATAAAAATTATCATTTTTCCCCTCTCTGATTTGTGTCTTTTGTATTTTAAGAAATTCTACCTTCTAAGGTAATAAAGATACTTTCTTATATCCCGTATGGGTTTCCCAGATGGCACTAGTGGTAAAGAACCCACCTGCCAATGCGGGAGACATGAGAGATCTAAGTTTGATCCTTGGGTGGGGAAGACCCCTGGAGGAGGGCTTGGCAACCCACTGCACTTGCCTGGAAAATCCCAGACAGAGGAGCCTGGCAGGCTATGGTCCATGGGGTCGCAAAGAGCCAGATATAACTGAAGCAACATAGCATGCATGCACTTATATTCCCTAATAGAATTTTATAGTTTTACATTTTACTTTGTCTTAAAATCCTCTCACAACTTATTTTTGTTTAGTCTGTTTTATTTTCTATATGGATAAAAAATTATCCTTATACCATTTACTGGACAGTTCATTCTTCCTTCAGTTTTTTTTAAATATTTATTTATTTTCTTTATTTATTTGGCTGCACCAGGTCTTAGTTGTGGCATGTAGGATCTAGTTCCCTGACTAAGGATAGAACCCAGGCCCCCTGCATTGGGAGCCTGGAGGCTTAGCCACTGGACCACCAAGGAAGTTCCAATGGGGTTTTATTATTATTATATAGGCATTAACCTTTTGGGGGCTCTCTGCCTTTTCTGTTTGTCCGTGTTGTATGTCTATGTCAATCCAACTCTGTAAGTAACCTTTGTATCTGATAGGAAGAGTCCTATCCTTCCCCAAAACTTTTTCTTTGAAATAGGCAAACTATAGCCCATGAGCTAATAACGGTTGTTACTTGTTCAAAGGGTTGTACACAAACAAAATGAAAGAACAGTAGGTGGAGAGACCCTCAGTAGGCTGCAAAGCCTAAAATATTTACTACCTGGCCATCCTCTGGCTTAAAGCTAGTTTTAGCCTTTGGGCCTCTGTATTTAAGATCAGCTTATCGAGTTCCTTGAACAATCCAATGGGTATTGTGATTGGAATTTTACTGCATTTGCAGATTAATCTGGGAGAGAACTGCTTGTTCCTTTTTCTTAGCAACTGATTCTAATCTTACGCTTTGGTTCCTCCTCTTTTTAATTCGTTCAAACAAACTTATTTTCTGTATTTTACCAGATCCTTCTTGTGTCTGAAGTTCCTGGGATTTAATCCTGCCATTTGTTATTTCTCTTGCTCATGCTGAATCGTTTCCTGGTATGTCTTTTAGTTTTGGATCAGATTGTAGAATCAGATTCAGCAGTGCTTTATCTGAAAAGCACAATTAAGCCTCAACTGAAAGTGAGTCCCTTCAGGATAGTTTTTCATTTGTTTTTACACAGTTATCACTGTCTGGGGACTAATTTTTTTATTGACTTTCTCAGCTTAGAGGCTCCTGGCTCATGTGGGCAGTATAAATTTAAATCCCAAACACTGTGAGAGCAGGTTCGTGGTTGTCAATTCTCAAGAATCTTTTATGATTGTACTTGGAGTCAGGCCAAGTAGATATGTTTCCTTGGCTTTTCCTGGGCTGGTGCACTGATTATTTTGTGATCAATACTTTGCAAGAGTTGTAACCCTCTGAGGATCCTAGCTCTTCTGGTGACCTCAGTTCCAACTGTTTCTTGTGCCAGCCCAACTGTGGGCAGCTCCTGTCCAAGGGTGGCCACTTCCTGCCCAAGTGTGGGACTTCCTGTCCAGGTTTGGCCACTTAACTATGCTCAAGCACTAAAATCTGATCGCCTAGGTCACCAGGAATGACAACCTCCCCAGCATATAATTTCTTTCCATCTTTATATCTTGGTCAGTTGTAATTTTTTACTTTCCCGAGATGATAGATATCATGAAAAATGGTACTTTATTTTATCAAGCATTTCCAGGTGACAGTAGCCTAGAGTTTTGATTATCACTTCAGCTATGTACATCTGTGAGGTTTATTTTCCCTCTTCTCTCTCTCCAAGTAACAGGCCAACATGGCCCCTCAGATCCCATCATTTGCTCCATATACTGGAGCCTTGGTGAAAATGGCCAGGGCACCCTCTGAACACTGAAGCGGTAGAGTTCTTCTCTGGATATTCGGTCGCTGCCAAGCTCCAGGGGGAAGAACATGTTTGGAGCTCCTTAGCTAATAAAGGGCAGTGCCCAGGTAGCCTGATGAGCTCTGTGGTTTACAGCAAACAGCTGAATGTGATGGGAAGAGCATGGACATTAGACAGGCTTCGGTTCAAATTCCAGCCTCTCCTCTCCACCTCAAGCTGAGGTGCAGCCTCAGCAAACCACTTAGGCTCTATGAGCTGCTTCAGCATCTAGAAAATGGTCATAAAAATGCAGTTTTATGGGATTGTGGTGGCAGCTGATGGGCTTTACCTGGTGGCCAAGAGTGAAAGACATGAAGTCAAACTTTGCTTTGCTTCTTAAAATGGTCTGGGGCAAACGGTCTCAGGCTCAACTTTCACATCCGTAAAATGGGTATATGCATGCTGCCTACCTTAAATGTTGTTGTGAGGGAAAGTGGAGGACTGTGTAAATCGCTCACCACCCCACCCGTGACAGCAAGCACTTTGAAGGTGCAGGCAATCCCTATTTTGGCATCTTTGGACTTACGCATTTTCTTGGGCCGCCTCTTCGGCCTTCGAGACCTTCCTGTAGCAATATATCATCTCAATGAGCAGCCACAGAGTGAGGAAGACCAGGAGGATGTACATCATGATCTCTGAGACCACAGAGGTGAAGTCCTCTCCAGCTGCAAGGGGGAGAATGAGACTCAGAATACGCAGTCCAACAAATCCAGAGCTGTCACTGAGTTTCGAGATGTGTGAGGCCTATTTTTAGGTGCGTCTTAAATAAGCAATGGTCTAAAGGAACTTGAGAAGTTATCAAAGAGGTTTAATATCCTCCAGCTCCTGTGTCTGTCCGCTTTCTCACTAACTTTCTTCAGATGCTCTGGAGGGAGAGATGAGGGAGAAGAAGGATGGGTTGGGGAAGAAATCGCAGAGCAGTGGAAGGACTCCTGGAACTGGATGAGATACACCACACAGCTGAGTCCCCATTTTCCTCCTTCTTGGTGTGTGAATAGTCATTTAAGACTTAAGTAGTCATTTAAGACTCAGCTGCTCAATTTGTAAAGTAAGGATAAGAATTCACACCATACATCATCTAATGTATTTAAGAATATCTGTAAGATGGAAGGGTTTCCCTAGTGGCTCAGTGGTAAAGAATACGCCTGCCAATGCAGGAGACACGGGTTCGATCCCTGGTCCGGGAAGATCCCACATGCCTCGGACCAACTAAACCCGTGTTCCACAAGTATTGAGCCTGTGCTCTAGAGCCCGGGAGCTGCAACTACTGAGCCCATGTGCCACAACCACTGAAGCCCGCGTACCCTAAAGCTTGTGCTCCGCAACAAGAAAAGCCACTGCAAAGAGAAGCCTGTGCGCTGCAACTAGAGAGCAGCCCCAGCTCACCACAACTAGAGAAAAGCCCACAGCAACAAAGGCCCAGCACAGCCAAAAATAAGTAAACAAATACAATTTTAAAAAATAAGACCTTGGGTGATGTGAAAGTCTGCACAGGCGTGAGGCACATGTCCTAGGTCTACGGACTCTGTCCTCTGAACTCGGGGTGGCAGAGTGTCTTACCCTGAGACACAGGGCATCAGAAAACGGGGACAAGGCCAGTGCCATCAACCCAAGTCTGCAAGTCTGGCCATGCTCTCTGCAAGTCTGGATTAGAAACAAGGCCACCCCCAGCTCAGCTTCCTTTCAGGTCATCCCAAATCCAAACAGAAATGAGGATTGGAGAATTCTGTGTATTAACCAGGCTGTCCTCAGAGTTCTACTTCCTGAACACAGATTATTTTTTTTTTTATGTTTATTTATTTACATGGCTGTGCTGGGTCTTAGTTGCAACATGTGAGCTCTTCAGTCTTCATTGTAGCATGTGGGATCTTGTTCCCTGACTAAGGATCAGACCCCAGGCCCCCTGCATTGGAAGTGTGGAGTCTTAGCCACTGGACCACCAGGGAAGATCTCAGAACACAGATCTGATTCCACTGTATCCCTGTTGAAAACTGTTCAGCGTTCTACATCTCCCTCAGGACAGAGATCTGACTCAATTAACGCTCAAGGGGCGCTCGAGGCCACTCACCATGAAGCCTTCCTTGCCTCATTTCCATTTTCTTGGCCAGAAAAACCTCTCTACTCATACACACTGTGGTCTTCTGGAATCTGTGAACATTTCTTCTTCCTCTTCCTTCTTCCTAGATTGTATCTCACGCCCTGCTACCTCTGTGCCAACATCGTCTCCTGTTTTTCAATCTCCCAAACATTCTTCTAGGCTCCACAGAAGCCACCACCTCTGTGAAGCCTTCTTCAACTTCTCGTGCAGAATTATCACTCATGTCCTTCTCCAGGCACTTTTCCATCCATTACAACACTTCCCAGATTGTTTTGTGATGTATTTATTGCTCTTCTGTACTGACTGTGTGCTTATTAAGAATATATTTATTTCTGAATTATCAGCCTGTTGTCTAATCCTGGAATACTTGAATTATTTAATAAGTATCTGTTGAATGAAAGAATATAAACAAATATTGATCTTCCATGTTTCCTAACCAACAAAAATGACAATTAAAACATGATCGGGGGTTCCCTGGTGGTTCAGTTAAGACTCAACCTTTTCAATGCCATAGCCTGGCATTCAATTCCTGATCAGGGAACTAAGATTCCACAATTGTGAGCCACAGTCAAAAAAATTTTTTTAATTAAAAAAATAAATAAAACATGATACATGCCAAATGTCCTGATATGTATTCCTTCCTAGTGGGAAGGATGGCTGCACTCAGATCTCCCTTTGCGAGCTCTTGGCAGCAAATTAGATTCATAGTCCTCGGTTATTCATAGGACCCAAGTCATCCCCAAGGCGTTGTGCGTTAAAAGCACAGCATAGCCACAGCCATGACCTTCAGCTCAGAGAAGCCGTCCAAGTGTTATAGGAGCATGTGGGTTTTCTAACTGGAGCTGGAGGCACAGGCGAATGCCATACACATCAAATGTCCTCTCATGGGCTGGCTGCAGCCTGATTTGCAATGTGCTCAACTTAAAGCACCCGATCTCTCTCTCTCTTTCTTGGCTGCGCTGGGTCTTCCTTGCTGCGAATGGGCTTTCTCTAGTTGCGGCAAGCCAGGGCTACTCTTGATGAAAGTGAAACAGGATAGTGAAAAAGTTGGCTTAAAATTCAACATTCAGAAAACTAAGATCATGGCATCTGGTCCCACCACTTCATGGCAAATAGATGGGGAAACAGTGGAAACAGTGAGAGACTTTTTTTTTGGGGGGGGGGGCTCCAAAATCACTGCAGATGGTAACTGCAGCCATGAAATTAAAAGACGCTTGCACCTTGGAAGAAAAGCTATGACCAACCTAGAAAACATAAGCGGGGACATTACTTTGCTAACAAAGGTCCATCTAGTCAAAGCTATGGTTTTTCCAGTAGTCATGTATGGATGTGAGAGTTGGACTATAAAGAAAGCTGAGCACTGAAAAATTGGTGCTTTTGAACTGTGGTGTTGGAGAAGACTCTTGAGAGTCCCTTGGACTGCAAGGAGATCCAACTAGTCCATCCTAAAGAAAATCAGTCCTGAATATCCATTGGAAGGGCTGATGCTGAAACTGAAGCTCCAATAGTTTGGCCACCTGATGCAAAGAACTGACTCACTGGAAAAGACCCTGATGCTGGGAAAGATTGAAGGCGGGAGGAGAAGGGGACAAAGAGGATGAGATGGTTGGATGGCATCACTGACTCAAAGGACATGAGTTTGAGTAAGCTCCGGGAATTGGTGATGGACAGGGAGGCCTGGCGTGCTGCAGTCCATGGGGTCGCAGAGAGTCGGACACGACTGAGCGACTGAACTGAACTGAGAGCTACTCTTCACTGCTCTTCAGTTGCAGTGCATAGGCTTCTTGTGGTGGTTTCTCTTGCATAGCATGGGCTCTAGGGTGCACAGGCTTCAGGAGTTGAAGCACTCGGACTCAGTAGTTGTGACTCGAGTGTTCTAGAGCGTGGGCTCGGTTGTTGTTGGTGCACAGGCTTAGTTGCTCCTCGGCATGTGGAACGTTCCCAGTTCAAGGATGGAACCTGTGTCCCCTGCATTGGCAGGCAGATTCTTCACCACTGGACCACCAGGGAAGTCCTCTGTCTCTGTTTAAGTGCAGAAATCAGGGACTTCCCTGGTGGTCCAGTGGTGAAGAATCTGCTTTCTAAGGCAGAGGATGCAGGTTTGGATCCTGGTCGGGAAACTAAGGTCCCACATTTTGTGCGGCCTCTGAGTCTGTGTGAAAAATACATAATTTTTAAAAATGCAATAGCCAGCAGTTGTACTGTAGGAAGCTGTCCTTAGTAGCTTCATTAGCCTTTAGGTGAAGAGAAAAATTTCTGTCTTAGAGCTGGGAGATGAGTCCAGCTTGAGCAGAGAGAAGGGAGAGGGTCTGGGGCCACGGGGGTGGAGCAGACATGGGGGTGTATCGTGATGGAGCAGGGTAAGCAAGAGAGCAGCGAATATCTGGGGGAGGGGTGGAGGGGGCTGCCAAGGGGCCACAGCGGGTGGGGAAGAAAGCAAAAGTGGCAGAGAATGGGATGGTGCTGGGGGTGGAAAGACACAGTGGAAATACAGCAAATGGAGGCAAAACCTGGACTGCAGTCCTGCTTCTGGCGCTAAGGTCCTTCATGTGCAGGCAAGCCTTCCTCTTCAGAGCTCTGTCCCCCAGCCACAAAATGGGGGCCCACAGCTGCACCCTCCAATCACCGGGGTAGTTATTCCAACTCACATACGCCAGACGGCACCCTGCCCAGCTGAACTCACACACACACGCAGCAATGGTGCGGAGCTGTCTACACGGAAGGAAAGCCCCCTAGGGGATTTCGATGCTTGTTCTTTGGCTAGAAGCCCTGCATTGAAAGAAAGCCAAGCTTCCTTCCAGCCCTAAGAGAGCCCGAGGGGCTCGCTGGCTCTGATAACAAACTTACTCTGCTTCTCTTCCTACCCAAACCTGGCTCTGGTGCCCGGCAGGCGGGCTGGCTCCACTTGGCCACACTTTCCACTGGCTGCACCACTCTGGAGGCAAAACCTTTGAGAACAGGAGGTAGAGGCAGAGACAGCTTCCAAGCATCTGGCAGCCACCAGCCGACAGTCCCGATGGTGAACAGCAGAGGGCGCCAGGCTCCCTTCCCCCAGGGAGCACAGGTGTGTGAACAGAAGAGGGTCCCGCACACAGAAGAGATGGGCTTGCAGAGGGGAAGTGGTTCATCAGGTCTGAGCCAAGTGCCCTGAGCATCTCTGCACCACCAGGATTGACCTACCTTCTGCTTTAGCCTAGCCTAAATCATGACTAAATCATGACATCGCTCACTCTTGCAGTTCACTCTCTTTTGCTTCATGGATTTTATCACCATAACATGATACGCTTGCGGCCTGGAAGTCAGGATTCCTGGCCTCCTTTTCTAGGAAGAGCCTGGCTTTAATGTGACCTCTCCTACCCCTCCTGGTTCACAGCTTTCATCTGTTCACCGTCCTGCATCTTGGGGGGCAGCCAAAGTGCTGAGAACATGCTGGAAATAGATGGTCTAGGAAAAGCTAGGTACAATGGCATCATCATTTTGCCTGGGTGACAAAACACAGAGGGAAATGCATATACCTCTCTTCTGACACCTGAAGGAAAATTTGCAAGGGGTGAGGCACCAGGGCGCCCCAAACACGGGTCTATTAACAGCAGAACAAGAACAGTTCTAAGTTCACCTTCACGATTCCGGACTCAATCACAACAAACATTTGAGTTAGAATGATGAAAGGACTTCCCAGCCTAACAAGATACCACCTGGGGGAAATCTGAAAAAAATGCAAAGACTAGAGAGCTAAACACCTTTCCCTTTTTCCCAGTTGAACATGAAGTGAGGACACCACACATGGAGAAGGGGTTGCTCATATGGTTACTGTGGAGGGAGACAGATGACAAAGACTGTCAGACTTTGGTTTGGAGCACTGCTTCTCAAAGTGTGGTCCCCGGCAGCATCAGTATCGCCTGACAATTTGTTAGTCACATAAATTCTCAGTCTCTGTGTATGGAATCAGAAAGGTTGGGTTTAAGAAGTCTTGCAGGGAAATCTGAGGCTGGCTGAAGTTTGAGCACCACCTGTTTAGAGGTTCATATGGATCACAGATAGGAGGGTAGATGACCTCTAGGGAACCTCGGGAGATTTCTCTGAGCCCATGGAATCAGAGATTCAACACAGCCAGAGAAGATGGAGCTGACTTGGCAGTTTCAGGCTTCACGGAGGCTGTCCTTTCTCTCTGAGGGTGCAAGTCCATGGACCAGGTAAAGACTCCTGCATTATCATCTCCAAGCCTTTCTGCTTTGAGGAAAGACACACAGAAAGAGGCAAGCTCTCGGGCAGCTTGCCGGAAGCTGGCCACTCCAGAAAGACATGCCAATGGTGGCAACCTCAGATTTCACCACTCCAAATAAATGGAGGTTTGCATTCTTCAAGGGGCTCATTTGTGTGGAGACCCACTGTCTTCCCTCCCCCGAGAGAGCCTGTGCCCTAGTCTTACCCTCCTCGGTAACACGCAGGGGGATCAGCCGGGTGGTCTTCACGAAGGGGCGATGTGCCTCGAACTCAAACTCCCGGGACACGTTGCAGGTGTAGAGGCCGGAGTCGTTCAGGGTGACGTTGAGCACAGTGATGGACACGTCCTGCAAGTCTTTGCTCCCGTTCCACTGCAGGCGCCCCTGGAAGGGGCTCTCCACCTCCTGGTGGCCGTTCCGATACTCGTAGATCTGTACGTGGAGAAGCAGTGGAGGAGGGCCATGAGAGAAGACGGGGAGAGGTGAGGACAGGGCAGAGAAAAGGACTAGATAGTGCATGGACACGGGGAAGGGGATGATGTTACCAGGAGCTCCCAAAATGTGAGAGCAGGGTGGAGGCTCAGAGGGGAGCAGGGAAGAGAGCAAAGGCAGGGCGGGCAAAGGGGGGCGTCAGGGCGCATGGACGTGGAAGGAAGGGGTAGGCAGGAAAGGGGGTGGAAAGAAAGAGAACGGAGGAAGATGAGTGACAGATACAGGAGACTGAGAGAAAGGAAGGGCTGGAAGGATATGGGAAAAAAAGAACAAGAGAGAAAGATGTGCCGTGGGGCCGCCAGAGAGAGACGGAGGCAGAGAGGCAGCTTCATTTGTCATGAAGGAGCTGAGAGCTCCAGCCTCCAAATGTGACTCTCACAGTTGATCCCCATTGAAGGGACATGGACAGTCGTAGCCAGGTCACAAGAAGGGGACCCAGGCTGCTCGAGTGGCCCAGATGAGCAGAGAGCTGCCAGTGATATGCATGCATCAGCTCTTCCATTCTGGGTGGAGTTAGATCTGATCTCTGTTTCTTTTCTCCAACACTTCCACCTTCTGACATACTTATTTCTCCCCCTCTACAGTTATGCAGTTCATCTAATCTCTACTGGCTACACGTGGCTACTTACATTAAAATTCAAATTACTAGGAATTAAATAAAATGTAAAATTCTGTTTTTTCAGTTGCACTAGCCCCGTGTCAAATGTTCAGGGCCACCTGTACCTGGTGGCTGAGTTGGACAGCATGAATATGGAATGTTTTCATCCTCACAAAAATTTCTATTACCATTACTCTGTATTTCCAGCACAATTTTTTTAAAGCTTCTTTTCTTCCATCTGAGCCATCTTTTTACTTTGGGCAGGCCTGGAAGCAGAGCAGGTGGCTGGCATATAACCAGGCCTGAGGTTCATGGGGACCTCTCCACTGATTAAGATGTCTAGGCTCCTGTAACACTAGCTCCTGGACATTAGCCTTGGTCAAGGTCAGCCCTGAGCTGGGCACTGGGAAGGCTATTGTCCCAGGCCTGGCACCTGATTGGAGCAAAGCCACTTCAGAATGACATGTCCAGCCTAGAATTAGAAATGAGCCCAGCTTTAGGAGAGATAGAGACAAAAGCAAGTAAAATTCAATTTCATCCTAATGTTGTCTCCACTAGGTCTTTGTGGTGAAAAAACTTGCCTCCAGGAAGATGAGTACAGTAAGAAGATGAGTACAGTACAGTAAAAAGGGCTTTGTATCTGCTCTCAGACAACCTGTTTCATATCTAAGCTCTCTTTACTAACTAAACTTCTTTGATTAGTTGCCCCATTTGTGTGTATGTGTGCATGTGTATTGGGCTTTCCAGGTCGCTCAGCAGTAAAGAATCCACCAGCCAATGCAGGAGACACATGAGATAGGGGTTCAATCCTGGATTGGAAAGATCCCCTGGAGGAGGAAATGGCAGCCCACTCCAGTATTCTTGCCTGGAGAATCCCATGGATAGAGGAGCCTGTCTGACTACAGTACATAGTATCCCAAAGAGCGTATGTGCACATGTGTATGTGTGCTTGTGTGTGTTCTCAATCAAACACTTATACAGTGTTTCCTATATCAGAACTATTATAAACATGTTAAAAATTGTAGCTCACGGGACTTCCTTGGTGGTCCAGTAGTTAAGACTCAGCGCTTTCACTGCATGGGGAATGATTTTGACCTCTGGTTAGGGAATTAAGAGGCTTCCCTTGCAGCTCAGCTGATAAAGAATCTGCCTGCAATTCAGGAGACCTGGGTTCAATCCCTGGGTTGGGAAGATCCCCTGGAGAAGGGGAAAGCTACCCACTCCAGTAATCTAGCCTGGAGAATTCAATGGACTGTATAGTCCATGGAGTTGCAAAGAGTTGGGCACGACTGAACAACTTTCACTTTCAAGGAATTAAGATCCCACATGCCACATGGTACAGCCAAAAAGGAAATAAAAATTATAGCTCAAGAGTCCTGGTAACAAGTCTATGAAGTAGCTATAGTTTATATCCCCATTTTAGACATGAGGAAAGTGAGGCACAGAGGTTAAGCAATTTGCCCAAGGACACAAGTTAATAAGTTGTGGAGTCAAGAATCAATCCCACGCAGCCTGGCCCCAGAGAGAATGAAAGTGTGAATAACTGTCATCCCCAAGTTGGTACTCAGATTATATAACCACCATTTTGGCACTGGCACCAACCAATCAGACTAACATTGGTCATGGCTGATCCCTCAGTTCCCAGATCACAAGGAGGTCAGAGGTTCCTCGTGGGAAGGATGGTGATGAAGACAGTAGGGGGGTTTAGCACAGGTAACCACTACAGGATGACTCAAACACTTCACCCACTGGTGTACGTGTACCAGCTGACCGTCAGCCTTGATCACCCCTGACATTCTTACTGCAGGGGTGAGATGAAGAGATGGTGAGACTGAAATGAGTTAAACCTATGTCATTCCACTTAATAACAGTGTTACTTTAGTTTTTAGGATAAATTTATTATTTCTGGCTGTGTTGGGTCTTGGTTGCTGCACAGGGGCCTTCTCTAGTTGCAGCACGTGGGGGCTCCCCTTCTCTGCGGAGACGGCTTCTCACTGCAGCGGCGTCTCTTGTTGTGGCACACAGGCTCTAGGGCTCGAGGGCTTCAGGAGATGTGGTGCATAGGCCGAGCTGCCCTGCAGCATGTGGGGTTTTCCCAGACCAGGGATTGGCAGGTGGATTAACCACCAGACCACCAGGGAAGTCCTTTAGTTTTTCTACTCATTTAATCCATCCAGTAGGATGATGCAGAGATTAAATGAAAACACCTGTCTAGTGGGATGGCTGACGCACAGTGGGCTCTAAATACTATTTATGTCTTTCCCCCCCTTATTCTGTTTACAACCAGGAGTGCTCCGAGCTGGCCAGGCTCCCTCCCTTTCCCAGAGGCTGGGCTACACTAAGGCTGTCAGTTATCTGCAGAGGAGCTGTCTCTCTCTGGAAAGAAAGAGCCAGTGTTTGTCAGATCGTCATTCCCCTAGACTGTCGGGAGCCAGGCACAAAACGGCAGAGGCCAGCAAAGGAAAGGCCAGAGTCAGCAGTCAGACATACAAGGAAATCTTTACCGCCCTCGGGCCTGTAGAACCATTCCACCACCGTGGTGGCCTCCACCTCCTCCCTCTTCATGCAGGAGATGCAGCGCAGCTTCATGGGGTTGCCCTGAACCGCCTCAGTCTCCGAGGGCACTTCCACACACACGGGGAAGCAGACGCCGACTGGAGAGAGGCCAGGAGACAGGGAGGGGACAGGAGGTGTTGGGCAGGGGGAAGGGAGAGCAAGGAGGGAGGGAGGAGAGACAGAGAAGGAAGAATCATGAGACATACTGGAAATTAGCATACACATGTAAGTAGCTCCCCAAGTACCCACTCTCCCGACCGGCAGGGATGAGCTGGCATTGACCGAGAGGCTCACCGGAAACAGTGGGGATGCGGGCAGCACATATCTGGCCCTGCCCTCAAAGACTCAGCATGTAGGTGTGAAACAGGGTACCTCTGCATCCACCCATTGACTGCATGCACCCCTTCACCGAACCAGCATTTGCTGAAATCTACCCTATGACAGGCCTGATGCTGAGATACAAAGTTGCACAAAACACTCGCCACGCCCCAAAGACATTTATAGTCTAGCAGTGTCATGAAACCAGACTAGTGACTGACATACTAGCAATGTGCTCTGTCCCCAGAGGAGGGGCAGTTATTCCTGGCTGAGCTGGGGAGAGAGGAAGACAGGGATGGTGAGACTTGAGGTCAGAAAGGGAGATTGGACCCATGTTGTGGGGACCTCTATATGCACTGCACAATAGGAGGGGGTCATATGTTTCAAAGCCATGGAGAGATGTAAGTGTATCTGTGTTTTATGGGAAATGTAGGTAATTCTGAGGCGTGGTGGAGGGTAGACTAGCAAGGAGAATGGTGAGCTGACCGTGGGACTGGGGCGATGCTTCATGCAGAAGAAGAGACACGGTTAAAAATCGGGAGGGGGAAACTAATACAACATTGTGAAGCAATTATACTCCAATGAAAAAGGAAACAACAAAATCTCACACCACACACAAAAATATATAAAAGAATCACATGAGAAAAGACATCCAAAAAATTAGAAGTGAGTAGTAACAAACATGTTCAAATTTCTTAAAGGGAGAGAATTTTTAAATGTAAGTTATTTCTATATCAAAAAACATACAAAACAAAACAGAAAAATAAATGCAGAGTGGTAGAAGTGAAAAACACTGCAGGGGGGTTCAGATTGGAGGGAGCCTTGCATACCACCCCGAGGTCTGGACCTATAGTTCCTGCCCCTTAGAAACTCTGGCCCATTAAAGACGGTAAGTCCATCAGACTGAAAATTCAGAATGAATCAAAAGTGGGATGTGGCTGCCAACAAAGCAAGTGCAAATGTGGGCTGTGTTAACAGATGTAACTGCAGAACAAAGGAGGAACAGTTCCTCTGTGCTGCTCAGAACAAATCTGGACTATGAGGATCAGTTCGAGGTGTCACAGTGTACAAAAGGAAGTTTGCATGTGCAGAGGAAGGCAAGATGGAGAGGGTCTGGGGCAAAGTCTGGTAAGAACAAAGCGGGATGGCCGGGGGTGCTTAGCTTGGGCACTGACACATCTGTCTTCAAATAGTTGAAGGATGAGAAAATAGATTTCTGTGGAAGAGAAAATAGATTCTGACCAGCTCCAAAAGTTACATGAAAGTAAGGCCTGCTCAACTAAAAACATATTTTTTTTTCTGGTGCTAAAGCTGTTAACGAATACAAAAGATTCTTTGGTAAGACAGTTTACATCTTATACAGAAGGTTCAAAAGTGAGATGAGCATCAAGGATTTTTATATTAGAACTTTTAACCCCTCCTGAGGCTTCCTCCTCATTAATGATAAAAACAGAGCCCCTGAAAATGAAATAATATACACTGTCATTAAAAAAATTGGTCCACTGTGAATGGTCGATCTGTTCTTCTATCGGCAAACAGTTCTTTCTAAAAGCAGAGGAAAGTTTTATTAGAGCTTAAAATGAGACTGACCAATTAATTAAGAGTGAAACGAAATATCTGACTTATAAGGGAACAAATTTAATTTTTAGACATAGAGCTTAAAAACTAGAGGCACTATGATAAAGTTTAACATATTGAGATAAAATAAATTTCATTGGTTTAGTTTTAAAACTCTTAGCAAGCTGGGACTGCATTTATTGGGCAGCCTGCAAGAGGGTCTCCTGCTTTTGCGTTATCTGTTGTTGTTCAGTCACTCAGTTGTGTCTGACTGCAACCCCATGGATTGCAGCACTCCAGGCTACCCTGTCCTTCACTGTCTCCTGGAGTTTGCTCAAATCCATGCCATTTCAAATTCATTTCACATGTTTCTGCATATGGGCCATCTCTTTAATGGGGGGAGGGTCCTTATCCAGAGAGACCTGATCAGAAACATTTTCAGAATGTGCTGAATTTGAAGTCTTGAGCATAGGCCTGTTTTTGTTTTTTATTTTTAAGGAAAGCCTAGTCTATGCAAAAGTTTTTGAGTGGATAGAGGTGTAGGGAATATGCATTGAAAACCCCATGTAGCAGGGAGTCTTGAGGCACATGTATATTTAATGAGATGTGGTAAAGATGAGTTAGTTCAATGAAGATGACTTCAGAGCAAAATAGGAAAATGTTCCAAGTAAAGTATAGTTACACTTATAGAGGCAGGAGGGAGATGCATTGGGCAACTGAAGGCTAGGGTTTGATAGACTTGTTTTGTTTGTGTTTTGGCTTTTCCGGCTGCACCGAGGGGCTTGTGGTAGATCTTAGTTCCCCGACCAGAGATGGACCACAGGTCCCTCCAGAAAGCACCAAGTCCTAACCACTAGACTGCTAGGGAATTCCCAGTTTGATAGATGGTTTAATCTCTCTGAGGCTCAGTTTATTCATCAACAAAATGCTGGAAATAATATCTAATAAATTTGCCATGAAAACTCTATGGGACGATTTCTACAAACATGTTCTGTACAAAGGATCATTAGCGCTTCACTGAGAAGATGACAAGGAGCAGGCACCGAAGGAAAGAAAGCAGGGAGCAAGCTCTATGAATATCTGTGTGACACTGTGCAGGGAAAGCAACTTGAGAGTCCGAGGATGGCAGTGTGTTGGCAAAAGCAAAGAGCAGAATAAACGACTGGGAACAGGAACTTCCCTGGGGGCCAGTGATTAAGAATCTGCTTTCCAGTGCCAGGAATACAGGTTCAATTCCTGGTCTGGGGACTAAGATCCCACATGCCTCGGGTTTGTGCTGCAACTAAGACCAGATGCAGCCAAAAATAAGGTTTTGGGGGGCTGCGCTGGGTCTTCGTTGCTGCGTGTGGACTTTCTCTAGTTGTGGTGAGCAGGGCCTGCTCTTTGTTGTGGTGCTTGGACTTCTCGTTGAGGTGGTTTCTCTCCTTGCGGACCACAGGCTCCAGGTGTGCGGGCTTCAATAGTTGCTGCATGAGAGATCAGTAGTTGTGGTGCATGGGCCTAGTTGCTCTGAGGCACGTGAGGTCCTCCCAGACTAGGGATCGAACCTGTGTTACCCGCACTGAGGGCAGGCAGATTCCTATCCACCATACCACCGAGGAAGTCCCAAGGTATACATGTTTTTTAAATAATAAAGTACCGGGAACCAAGTGAGCATAAAAGGAGACAAGGTAGAAGAGATAAACCAGGACCGGATCATGGCTGTCCTTGTAGACCATGACTTGAACTTTGGTTTCTGCTTTGAATGACATGTGAGCGCTGGAGGGTTCTGAGTGGAAGGACGGCATGACACGATCTGACTGCTCTGTTGAGAATAAGCTGAAGAGGTGAGGAAGGACAGGGTGGAAGCAGACAGAGCACTTGTAAGGCTGGTACAGGGATCAGGCTGAGAGTCGGTTCAATGGTTCTGCTTGGATGAGGACAGCAATAGAGCTGCTGGGCTTGAAAATGCAGTTTGCTGGACAGATATCCTTGAATAGGTGTGAGGTGATGTCCTCCAGGGAACAAGTGGATGAGTTGGCCTTAACTATAAACACAGTTGGTTCATTTACCGTAAAAGGGGGGAAGGCAGAATATATGTAGTCAGGATGGTCCGCAGGGCATAGCAGCCCCTCTTTGTTCTGAGATGTCCCTGAGTAACCCAATCATCAGAGAGTAAGCCCCACTGATCACCTTCTCTTTACCAAAGTCCAGTCTGAAGTCCTAAGAAAGAACTCTGCTCAGTAGGTCAATTAAATTCATGAGGTCCCAGAAAAAACATTGAAAAATGGCCACAAAATCCACTCATCCTTATTCGCTTGCCCTTTGCAATATGACTTGCTTCTTGGAAAAGACCCTGATGCTAGGAAGGATTGAGAGCAAGAGGAGAAGTGGGTAACAGAGGATAAGACGGTTGGATGGCATCATCAACTCAATGGACATGAGTTTGAGCAAACTCTGGGAGATAGTGAAGGACAAGGAAGTCTGGTGTGCTGCAGTTTATGTGGTCGCAAAGAGTTGGACACAACTTAGTGACTGAACAACAACTCCTTCCATCCAGAGGTAAAGTATATTTCTCCACCCTGTGAGTCTCCAGTATATCACTTCCTCTCTTTCCATGAAATCCTCTAGATTTCTAGAAAAGACTATACATATGGCAGACATTCAACCCACCCTGCTGACTGTAAATAAGAAACTCCTGGAATAATCTTGGCCAAATTACTTGACATTTGGTCTTCTCTTCTGTTTCCATAGTAACAATGCGGAAACATGAGAAAGAAGAGTAGATTGGCTATGATTATATTTAACTAAGGAATAGCATTAATCTATCTATATTAATAATCTATCTATATCAGAGAAGGAAATGGCACCCCACTCCAGTACCCTTGCCTGGAAAATCCCATGGATGGAGGAACCTGGTAGGCTGCAGTCCATGGGGTGACTAAGAGTCGGACACGACTGAGAGACTTCACTTTCACTTTTCACTTTCACGCATTGGAGAAAGAAATGGCAACCCACTCCAGTGTTTTGGCCTGGAGAATCCCCGAGCCTGGGGGCTCCTAGGAATGAAGAATCCCAGGAATGGCGGCTGCCATCTATGGGATAGCACAGAGTCGGACACGACTGAAGTAACTTAGCAGCATCTATATTAAGCAGTGGATAGTAATGTGTATGTAACCAACTCCTCTAATCTTTGTCTTCTTTATTTGGTTATATTGCCCCTCTTGACTTTGCTCTACAATGCTTTCCTTTGTACTAAGAAAATAAAGCCTTTGATTAGAAAGTAAAACTTTACAGAAAGTGGTAATAAATGACGTTATTTGTAGATATGAACACCCTGAAATGACTTGGTCTATCAGATCTAGCCAGTCATTTAGCAAAGCCTTGAGAGAATGGGATGAAAGTGGATTGCTGAGGGAAAAGAGGAGAACATTCCCCCAACACAACAGACTCTACTCTGGGAGAGTAGACCTGGAGAGGAAGAGCTGAGAAGATATTAGGAGGTGATGAGTAAGGCCCTAGGCTTGGGAGAGGTGTGGAAGGGTGGCTCCAAAGAGAAATGAGACGACAGATGCCCACCTTGCAATCCTGTATAGATAGCAGCAGGTATGACCGTTAAGAGCTACAACAAGCACCAGAAGACCAAACTCACGAGATAAGAGTTCTCTACAAGTCCTTTCTCCTTCCCTGCAGTTATTTTCTTATCTCTAAACTGGAAACAACACTACTTTCCCTGACTAACACCACTGGATTGCTATGGGGACCAAATCTTCATTTGAAAACTGCTTTGTAAACTGTAAAGCACTAGGCAAGTGTGGATTTATTATTATACTACTATTTAATGAAAGAAATGTGGAATTTTGCTCAATTCATGCAGAAAATAAAAGAATGGAAAAATTCCATTCACATTTGCATCATGTAACAAATCAGTTTGGGAAGGGTGAATGCATCTAAGCTAAGTGTTTTCCAATACTGGAATTGCATGCAAATAAAATGAGATTGCATCTGTGAAGTGAGGCCTTCTCTCTAACATTTAATGGCAAGGTTTCCTGAACTATCTCTTTCTCTTTTTAGGTGTGTGTGTCTTTTTTAAATTAATTTGCTTTTTAAAATTTATTTTTAGTTGGGGGGGAAATTACTTTACAACGTTGTTTTGGTTCCTGCCGTACAACAATGCAAACCAGCCATAATTATACATACATGCCCTCCCTCCCGAGCCTCACTCCCTTCCCTCACCCCATCCTTCCAGGTCATCACAGACTGTCAGACTAGGCTCCCTGTGCTACGTAGTAACTTCTCACCAGCTATCTATTTTACACATGGTACTGTATATATGTTGATGCTATTTTCTCCATTAGTCTCACCTTCTCCTTCCCCTACTGTGTCCACAAGTCCATTCTCTATATCTGAGTCTCCATTCCTTCCCTGCAACACCATTTTTCTAGATTCCATATATATGCATTAATATACGATATTTGTTTTTCTCTTTCTGACTTACTTCACTCTGTTCAAGGTTCAAGGTTCTCCCACTTCACTGGAACTGACTCAAATGTGTTCTTTTTATGGCTGAGTAATATTCCATTGTATATATGTACCATATCTCCTTTATCCATTCATCTGTTGATGTACATCTAGGTTGCTTCCATGTCCTAGCTATTGTAAACAGCACCGCTATGAACAGTGGGGTACATGCATCATTTTCAAGTACAGTTTTCCCAGGGTGCCCACTAGAGGGATTGCTGGATCATATGGTAGTTTTATTCCTAGTTTTTTAAGGAATCTCCATACTGTTCTTGGAGAAGGAAATGGCAACCCACTCCAGTATTCTTGCCTGGAAAATCCCATGGACAGAGCAGCCTGGCGGGCTACAGTCCATGGGGTTGTAAAGAGTCAGGCACAACTGAGCGACTAACACACACACACACTGTTCTCCATAGTGGCTGTATCAATTTACATTCCCACCAACAGTGCAAGAGGGTTCTCTTTCTTCCATATTCTCTCCAGCACTTATTGTTTGTAGATTTTTTGATGACGGCCATTGTGACTGGTGTGAGGTACCTCTTTCCCTTTTGTAGCTTCTCAACTTGGTGAACCATGCTCAGAAGCTGAGGATGGACAAGGATAGGTATAACACATATACTTCTTCCAAAGGTTTTTTTTCTTTTTTGCAGGAGAATTGAGGGGTGGAGAGGAAGATGGGTACTCTGCCATTTTAGCAATATTCTATAAATCATTTCCCTACCATTCAACTGTGCAGCTAAAATGTTAGCTAGGATGTTAGATATCTGTCCTAATTTTCAGACTTACATATTTCCAAATACACATATATGAGGAACCAAATATTCTCAGGTTATGACACAAAAAGCTAGTGGCAGAGCTAAGACTCTGATCCAGGCTTTGTAAGTCCTAGTCAAAACATCCTAGACTATAGCATACTCTCCCCTCCACTAGAATTCAGGCAAAGATATTAAAAACTTAAATTAGGGTTTGGGAAGAAAGGCTTTGTACAATATCACCCCAAGCTCCTCTACAACCTTACCTGTCATTGCTTTACTCATGTTCTTTCTTACGCAGCCCGAAGAACCTCTCCTAAGCCTCATGTCCCTAGTCTTCACCTCCCCTGAGGAAATCTCAGCCTTTAGTCTACAAGATAGGTGAGATCATTGGCAACCCATTATGTCTGCTTCATGTTCAGATCTGGTCTACTCTACTGGGAATGGATGGTGGTGAGTCTGCCCTTGGGACTGACATTACTCTCCTTCTTTGTCCTTCCCAGCCTGTCTCATCAGGCATTTTGTTCAACAGGAAGCTTGGCTCTGCTTCTGGTCACATGCAAAATCCAGATAACACTGGCAGCCAGAGTTAGTCCTGGAGGCTTAATAAAGAGATAATAAGGTAAAGAGGCAATTCCCATCAGCATATCTGCCACTGCACTGGCAGAATGAGTTCCATGCCAATCATAGAGCATAATCCCACATACCTAGCTTCAGTAAGGTAAGTGGGCTTGCTCACATCTAATTATCCTGGTTATTGATTTTTAGCATGGAGGAAGGTAGCTAAGATTGTGGCAAGCAATTTATCAACTGGAGAGCATGTATATTTGACCTGAGGATCTAAGTTGGCAAGACTGAATGCCCATAACTACACAACTACACACAACTACATGCACACACACACACAAATACACACACACACACACACACGGACTACCACATCCTCATCAATCCATTCAGATGCCCATGCTAACATGCTCCAACACAAACTAGCACACACATTCAGACGCTGAGGCATATACATCAATACGGTAAAGCATTCTCTTAGTCGCACATGCAGACATTATTATGTAGACTCATTAACTTCGGCCATACACATGCGGGCACCCCACTTCAAACCCATCTCTAACACCACTCTGCTCAGCTTTACTGTTGCAAGTATAGGACTCCCTTATTTGGAGAGAGAAGGTCACCTCACTGCTTCACAATAGATAAACAAGAACCTATTTATCCTTGAAGGCAAAAAAAACCCAGCTCCCCAAACACCAAAGCACCTTAGTCCCCCATGTTCATGAAAAAGAAAAAAGATGCAATTCCCAGGTGCCTATTCATCTAATATATTACTGCAAATGGCTGAAGCCTGTTTTACTTATTAAAATTAAACAGTAGGATCAACAACTAAAGTATTTTCACTCCCAAAATGCACACATCCAGATTTTTAATGTATAAAAATTAATTTGAAGAACTCATTGAGAAATGAAATGCAACTACAACCAAGATTTTTTTTTATAATGAACGTGATAGCATTCTCTTTCAGCAATAGGAAAGGGGGAAAAAAATACTTTGTACTTAGCAGGAAACGGGAAGAAGGGTGGGGAAACCACCAAGGGAGGTTCGGGAATAAAGCAGCAGAGGAATAGGGAGGCCTTTTGCCAATCTCAAAATCCTAGCTCTCATGGAATCCCTCTGGATCCCATGTCTGGCAGACATGTACAGAGGAAAGCCAACCAGGGCTCCTTGATGTCACCAACGATATCAATGTGTTATTATTGTTAACATTATTACTGTTATCTGCATCTCGCATGGCAGGGTGCTGGTACTTACCCCACAAGATGAGCAGAAGGGAAGCCAGGGGAAACAATCTGTTGAAGGCAGGCATCTTTTTTTTCAGCGGGTGGCTTCCGGGGCTAAACAGAGATTCCCTGGGTCAACAACCGCTCCCTCTCAGAGACTTTCGAGGAAACCCTTTGGGACGAACTGGCCCAAGGAAGCGACTTTCTGACTGAAATAAAGGCCAAGCTCCGGTGACCGAGGAGGCTCTGCGGGGTTTTGGAGCCAAGCGGGGTTTCAGCTCCAAGCCACCCTAGCGGACCGCCCCAGTTCGAGGGAGCGGATCTGCAGCTCGGCGCGCTCTCCCCAGAGCCCGTTGCTGGGATCCGGATCAGCACCACGGACAGTGCCTTCCCCGCCCACCCCGGAACTTCCAGTCTCCCGTGTTTGCGCGTCGCGGAAAGCTTGGCTCGGAACCGAGCAGCCGGCAGGCTCTAGGCGGTTGGGCTGTCGAAGGGATCCATGTTAATCCACCTCTCACCTCCTTACGAACAGTTACGCTCCAACTAGGATCCACCCAGACCCAGGAGCGCCGGCTTCATCCGCCCTGGCGGCTTCTCCAGCTGGGCGTGCCCATACACCCGAAACCAACAAGGAGCTGCCGTCTGAGCTACAAAATTCGTTCCACCTCGGTACCGTCCACACCCGCCGAGGCTCCCCGGGGAGATCCGAAGGGGCTAGAAAGAAGAAGGCGGAACCTTCTGTTTGGCTGGCGATCTCAGAGGCGGGGCGGCGGGGGAGGGTGATGGACCCCTTCCCGGGAGCTCGCCCACAAGGTCTTGCAAGGGCCCTGGGGAGCAGGTGACCAGCTGCCCTTCTCCAAGGCCCCCCTAGACCGTGTGTGCTCAGTCAGCCCTGACATGCGCAGGCGGCTCTCCACCCTCCCTGCCACCACTGACCCACCCCCTCGTGCAACACTCCCCACCCCCAAACAGGCGTGCCCCTCCCAGGGCCGAGCACGGCTGCCTGGCGCGGGGGCGGAGCTCGGAGCCGCGCACACACCTCAGCCCTCGCGATTTCTCTGCTCGCCGGCTGTCTCCAGGTTTCCCTTTCACATCTCCACATGTCTCCCCAGCAGGGGCACGCCTCCTCCCACCCATTCACACCCCCCAGGCAACCCCACTCGGGCTTCCTGCACAGACGTGCTAGCCTCCAGCTCCGGGAAGAGGAGGGCCAAATCTCTCGCAGGCAACGATCAGTGACGTCATCTGCAATTTACACTGTACATGACCGGGCTTCTCTCTCGCGACCCCATCCCCTCCTTCTCTCCCGGTGTGGTCTTTGTCTAGACTTGATCAGTTGGTTCCGGACACCCTGAACGGAGCAAAATAATCGCTGCTTAGAAATGGGCTAAGAGTGAGGCGGCACCTGTTCCCACATTCACCTCCTCACCCAGGGAGGTGATCCAGATGTCGGTTCAGCAGTACTGTTGGGGGTGGGGTAACTCCCTCTCGCTCTAATCACTCCCCCCTCCCCAGTTTAAAAGCAGATAGATTGTGGCTTGGCGTCTCCCAACTATTAGCCTTACCCTAGTCCTAGCAGCTGTTTCAATGCCCCGCCCCATCTCTGGAAGGGAAACCTGAACCTTCAAATTTAGTTATAAACTCAAATTGACATAATAGATTAGGAATGCCTGGAACCGAGTGAAAGGTTAATACAAGAACCGTCCACCCCACCCCCTTCTCATTCCCTACTGCTCCCTTTCCAAAAGGGGAAGCTTGACATTGATATTCCAAAACAGAATGGCGGGGTAACAGCTGACTGTAAGCGAACCACATGCAGGAAATTCTCCCTCCTAACGTATCACAGAGCAACAGAGTGTCCTTATTCCTGGGCAGGGAGCCACCGGGCCATAAACTCTATCTTGCTTTGAAGACCTACCCTGAATCAGTGTGTTAGACTTGGATGAGACGTTAAGGTCGACTTAATTCAACTTCCTTTCTAGTTCTTGAATCCCTCAAGGACATTCCTGATGAACAGTCTTGGCTTTTGTCAGTGGCCAAAGCTTACTACTTCACAAGTTGGTTCCTTTGAATGTTTAAAAAAGTTCTCCTTTATATTCTTTTCAATTCTATACACTCTTCCTTCCTCCCCAAACTCCATTAAGTGGTCCGCAAGCTGTTTTCCTAAATAGAGAGTTATGCTTCCCCACACTCCACCCCAGACTCTTTTGTTTGGGGTTAAGCTTTATAAGTTTCTTTCAGTGTATTTTCTGGTCGGTTTCCAGCCCTTAATTACCCTCGTCACTGTCTCAGGAGGATTTTTAGTTTGTCGGCATGATTCTCAAAGTGACATTCAGAAGAGGAACTGATGTTTTCTATGGGGTCTGGGCAGTGTGAATCCAGGAGAATAATGGCCACATTTGCTTTAGATGGTGTGTCTGTCCAGTTATATTTACAGTTGGCTTCCCTTGTAGCTCAGTTGGTAAAGGATCTTCCTGCAGTGCAGGAGACCTGGGTTCAATCCTTGGGTTGGGAAGATTCCCCTGGAGAAGGAAATGGCAACCCACTCCAGTATCCTTGCCTGGAGAATCTCATGGACAGAGGAGCCTGGTGGGTTGCAAAGAGTCAGACACGACTGAGTGACTAACACACATATCTCACTTAAAATGAGCTATGGTCAATTAAATTCTCATAAGTATTTTTCACTAAACCTGTTGCACAGTTATGTTGGACTTATACGGGGTATCTTAGGGGAAAAAACTTCTGTATTTATTGCTATTAAATTTATCAGTTTATTATCCCATGCTATTAATACTTTTATTGAATCCAGATTTAATTATCCAAAATCTCTCTTTTTTTTTTTTTTTCAACATCTCTTTTCTTTAGCTTTGTTTCGTCTTTAGGCTTGACAATCACTTGATCCAAATATAGACTTTTTTTAATGGATAGGAAAAAAACAAAAAAGAGTTCTTTGGCATGATTTGAGAGACCTTACTCTAGTTTGACTAATTAGGCTTCTTTGGTATTACATTGGTATGGTGATTATATTTGGTATTGTGATTATAGCTCAATCACAAATACACAAATGTATCTCCAAATTTTCCATATTTGCATCATAACACATTCTGAAAATTTAAAACAAAGGGTATATGGGACTTCTCTGGAGGTCTGGTGGTTAAGACTCTGTGCTTCCACTGCAGGGGGCACAGGTTCCATCTCAATGATAATCAGGGAACTAAGATCCCACGTGCCTTGCGGTGCAGGCAAAAAATTAATCAATCAATCAAAAAACAAAGGGTATATGTGAGAGGAATCAGACTTATAATGATCCAGATAAGAGAGGTTTACGTTTACATAGAAACAGATTTTCAGTAATATATTTCAAACCATTCCAGAGTGAAATGAATTACCTTTTGTTATGTTCAAGCAGTTGTTATGCAGAGAGTTACTGGGATGTTCTAGAAAAAAAATCTTCTATAAGTTAGAAATTTGGTATGGATTGTTGATGAAGTTCCAATCAGAGACTTCCCTTGTGGTCCAGTGGTTAAGACTCCATCCTCCCAATACAGGGCCCCTGGGTTTGAGCCCTCATCAGGGAACTAAGATCCCACATGCCACAACTAAGACCCAGTGCAGCCAAATAAACAAATATTTTAAAAAAATTTTCCACCCATCTTTGAGATTCAATGGTTTTATTGAAAGTCTTACCCAACTATATAGAGTGATTGAAATGTTTTCAGTCTGATAATCCTATGAACCACTACACTACAGCCATCACCACCACTGCAGCACGAATTGGCTTAATTTTACATAAGTTTGTCTCATGTTTGTTTGTGCTGATTCCTAATGATCACAATGTTCTTTTTAAAATATTTTCCAATCTCATTTTAAATAGTCACCTTGAGAATTTTACGTGAGATTTTAAGAACAATGTACTTGCCTCTAGTTTGCACAAGCCACTTCCCCTGTCTTCCCTCTATGAAAACAGGAGCATTTGGTTTTTTCAGCCTTCTGACATTTCCTTTGATTTTTGGCAGTAGGCCTCAGTCACTTTCACAAGTACCTTTAGTTCCCTAAAGTATATCTGGCTTTGTTCTAAGAGTTTTCAATTCATTTACATTAAGGTATCCCTTCCTCCTTTCTGCCATTTTGGCTTCAATCCCTTTTTGCTGTTTTTATTTTTTGTTGGTGGTGGTATTGTTTATTTATTTATTTATTTTTACCTTTTTCCAACTTGATGATTATCTTCCTGTGATAGTTGAGGGTGAAGCCATAGCAGACAGAAGCCAGAGCACTTTGTATCCTATGAGACCATGCACATTTCTTGCTTGAAGCCCTTCAGTTGCATTTCACTGGATAATACAATAATTAAAATCTGGACTCCTCTCCATGGTCCAGCAAGCCCTGCCCTGAACTCTGCCTGTCTCTTCACACTCAGGTCTACCATTCTTTGCTTGTCCACAGTGTTCCAGATACACTTGACTTTTTAAATATGTACCTCAAACTTATCAAGCTCTTTCCCATAATAGAGCCTTTGCGTGAGCTGTCCCCTCTACCCAGAACGCTCTTCATCCTGTGGCTGGTTTCTTATCATTCTGCTCTTGCCTCAGATGACTTCTTGAGTAACACTCCCTGGACACACTGTCTAAACTGGCTTCCTACCCATCACCCTCGCCTGAAGCTACTCTCATCTCATGACCCTGTAACTTATTCCTCCCATCTTCTCTCACTATCCAGATATATCTTACTTTAAATTTATGTACTTGCTTATTTTCTGTTTCCAACTCAAAATTCTATGAAAGCAACCTTGTTTGTCCTTTTTGCTGTGGGATCCCTATGCCTAGATTGGTACCAGGAGGATGTTCCATCTTCTGGGAATCCTGAATGAATGAATAAGTGGATGGAGGAATGAGAGGATAGTGCAGAGAGTGAAGAGCGGAAGCTATACTCAATAGAGGGAACAGATGAAGAGTCAAAGGAATGGGAGAAGGTGCAGAAAGATACGGTGCCACACTAGGAGAGGGAGGAGAGGCTCTCTATTAATAGACTTGGGAGACACTGCTCCACAGAGGGGGCTCCAGCTAGCTGTGCTCAGACTGGGGAGGTGGAGCGGGGCGGATCGAGCCTGAGGTTTTCAGAGATTTTGAGATGGAGGGAAGGAATGATTCTGATAGCGGGGAAAAGAATGACATCTGAGATATGCATGGAGAAGTTAGTCTTCCTGAGGAAAGAAACCCATTTCACTAAGATTATGGGGGAAGAGTTAATAATAGTAGTGGCAGTGATCCTGTGAGTAAAGATGAGTATGAGATCTTTTTTTAATTAAAAAAATTTTAATTATTATTAATTTAACATTTATTATGTTTTAGTTGCAGCACACAGGATCTTTGTTGCCGCATGTGGGATCTTTAGTTGCAGCATGTGGGATCTAGTTTCCTGACCCGAAATCGAACCTGGGTCCCCTGCTCTGGAAAGGTGGAGTGTTAATCACTGGACCACCAGGAAAGTCCTGAGATCTTAATAGATACACACACACACACACACACACACACACACACACACACACACACACACATATATATATAGTCGCTCAGTCGTGTCCGACTCTTTGCAACCCCATGGACTGCAGCCCACCAGGCTCCTCTGTCCATGAGATTTTCCAGGCAAGGATACTGGAGTGGGTTGCCATTTCCTTCTCCAAATATATGCACATATAAATCTTGATAAAACAGGAGAGTAGGGAGTGGGGAGGGACAGGGGAACTGGGTACAAAAGAGCCAGTGTGGAATCACCGTGGAAGACTTCTTGACCCAGAGACGCCAAGGGGAGCATTTTGAGTTCTACACATACCTGAACTTAGAGTCAAGATGTGGAAATCAGAGCCCAGTGTAGGTAAGTCAAGTGACCTGCTTCTGCTATTCTAAGTGGATTTTGAAAAATAGTGCACACCCCATGGGATGAGAGGGAGAAACCTGTTTATTTTAAACTGTGGCCAAAGAGCACATATGGGACTGAGAGATATCAAGCTTCCCCAAATCTTTCCCTTATCCAGTCTGCCAGCTGTGTGGTTACTGTCGCCAGCCAAGGGATGTTTGGGATTAGAACAGGAAACAGTGACATGGTGACCAGACTATGCAATCTCT